AGACAGCAGAGGGAAGACGCTCACTGAAATTAAGTCACAGAGGATCTAGTCTCACATTCCCCATCTTGCCTCCCACAAAAACCCACAAAAACAATCAGTCACTCTCTCCATCCACTGCATTCCCCACACATCCTTCACAATAGTACTTCTCACGAAGGGCTTGCAGATCCGCCTGGCCTACTAAATCATGAGCTTCTTTGATTTACTTCTGTTTTGCTAATGATGAGTTCTGTGCTGGGCACACAGGGAGGCCTCAGAATGAATGGATATGGATGTGACAGACTGTAAAGCCCCATATACATAAGTTATGACTATCCCACCCCAAACAGCATGGAGGGGCCAGGGGAGCAATGCTGAGGTACCTGCTGGACTTGAGGACTGGGAACAAAAGCGGGAGAAGAGGTGCAGTGAGGGAGTTATGAAGGCATTTCTTCCCCCAGAGAAGGGTGGTCTTTGTGGCTGCTGTTCCCAGCCATCAATCTCTGTGCTAACTGCTGCCTTTTCTCAGGATTAAGGCTCTTTCTTGAGGAATGACCCTGAAACAGAATGAAGGGTACTTACTGAGGCTGCAGATATCTAGCCCCTCACCCCACACACTAGATCGGAATCTCTGGGCCCTACAGTCTCAGAAAAATGACTTTCCTTTGCACTACGTGGAAACCAAGAAGGAGTCTTCCAGGAAGGATGGGGAGGAGGAGAGTGCCTGGAAGGGATACCCGTTATTCCTTCAGAAGCACTGGCTTTCTCCTACCAGGCTCTGGCATCAAGGGCAAAAGTTTAAGACTCTGGTAGAGCGTGTCAGGATTTGCTCCAACCCTCGTGGCTATGGGATTAGAAGGGAGGGTAATTGGCAAGGCTGTGGCTGTCTGGAAGAGGCCTGGATACTACATGTGCCACTGCCAAGTCGGACGGGGGCAGCTCTGCACTGCAGGGTCCACGTCCTGTGCAGCGCTGGACATCAGAAAGCCTCGCTCTTGTTACAATGGAGTAGATGTTAGACATGCTCTTGCCTTCCGTGGCAGGGAGGGGACAGAGATGTTGGGAGAAGCGCCTTTCACCGGAACCAGGCAAGCCCTGGTGCAAATTCTGGCAACATCCCTGACAAGCTGTGAGCACTTAGAAAGCTTACCAGGTGGCTGGGCATGGTGGCTCACACCTGTAATCCCAGCACTTTGGGAGGCCAAGGCAGGCGGATCACGAAGTCAAGAGATTGAGACCATCCTGGCCAACATGGTGAAACCCCCATCTCTACTAAAAATACAAAAATTAGCTGGGTGTGGTGGTGCACACCTGTGGTCCCGGCTACTCAGGAGGCTGAGGCAGAAGAATCGCTTGGTGGAGGTTGCGGTGAACCAAGATCACGCCACTGCACTCCAGCCTAGCAACAGAGTGAGACTCCGTCCGTCTCAAAAAAGAAAAGAAAAAACTTACCAGGTCTCTGTCTCAGTCTCCTCATCTACCTATTGGAAGTAAGCATCCTTGTTTCAATACTTGTTGAGGGTTTAAAAAGATATTAAACAGCCTAGCCCAGAGCTATATACTTAGTGTGTTACTAATAAAGCCTAAGTGAATTTCAATCCCTTTAATGCTCACAAATGTACCAAAAGGCCTCATTATCTCCTCTCACTTAAACCTTACAACCCTGTAGGAACATATCATCACTTCCACTCTACAGATGAGGAAATAGACTTAGGGGAAATCACTTACCCAAGATCACGTGGCTAGCTAAAGGCCGGGCTGAGACTTGAACCCAGGTCTCAGTTCTCTCCTTCCCCTCATCCCCAAACCTGCTCCCTGAAATGTGCACTCTCCCTCCCTTCTCACAGGGAAATGGTACTATAAATGATCCAATGTTTGAACAGGTTGGGAAGGTACCTGGCTTCTCATCCCAATGAAAGTCAGACATCATACGGTCCCCATAAAGCCTCGGCTTTCCTTGGGCAGGCAGGAGTCCTTCTCTTTGGGCCCAGGCAACCCAGCAGCTTGAGACAACCTTACTCTGAGAGAAGAACCTGAACGTCAATTTCTGGATGTGGATGGGGAGGGACAGGATAGAAGGAAACCAAAACTCTTCATTTCATCCCAAGACTGTCTGACACCGACAGAGAAAGGGGTTCTGACCCAGCTGAGGGCAGCAGAGAACGGAACTCATATTGGTGTCTTTGTCCATTAGCCAGTGGCATACATAAGGGAACACCGGAAGTACTCCCATTGTGGTGACTCTCCCTCAATTAGTTTATCAATTTAGTGATCCCAGTAAAAAAAAAAAAAAAAAAAAGACTTTTTTATTGGAAGGTGGTGGGATTAGCTAATTGGAAAATTCCAGGGGGAGGGGCAAGGCCTGATGAACAAGATTGGGAGGACAGGGGGGTTGCTATTATAAAAACCAATAGGTATTAAGACTTTGGAAGCAAATGTCCACCCTCAGGGGCTATTTAAGTAAATTACAGTTTACTCACACAACAGAAATCTAGACAACTTTTTTTAAAAAAAATGCAAGGAAGCTTTTTCTATATAATGAACTCCAAGATACAGTCACTCGGATGAACAAGGTGCAAAAGTGGGTAGATGGTATGTTACTATTCACATAAAAATGAAGGGGGGTTTTTGTTGCAGTGATTATCTATTGCTGAGGAACAAATGGCCCCCAAACTTAGTGATTTAAAACATTTATTATCCCAGTTTACGTGGATCAGGAATCCAGGTACTGCTTAGCTGACTGCCTTTGGCTGGGGTCTTCAAGAGGCTGTAGTGAAACTGTCGGCTGGGGCTGTGGACCCATCAGCTGGGAGGGAGGATCTGCTTCCAAGTTCACTCACATGGCATTGGTCTCTCACATGAGCCTCTCCATGGCTGCCTCACAGCATCGAAGCTGCCTTTCCCAGGAGGGGTGATCCCAGAGAGAGAGAAAACCCAAGAGGGAAGCTGCAGTCTTTTTTACCTGTTTCAGAAGTGACATCCTACCACTTGTATAGTATTCTATTCATTAGAAGTGTTTCTGTAAGTCCAAGCTGTAGGGAACAAGATGGGAGTACACAGGGCATGAATTCCAGAGGTGGGACCACTGGGGACTGTCTTTGAGGATACCTACCCCCCACACTCACACAGGCAAATAGTCTTTATGGAAGGAAGGATACACTAGAAACATTCAATATTGGTTGCCTTCCGGGAAGGGAATTGGCAAACTGGGGGAGAAAAATTCTTCGCTGAATATACTATTGTTCTTTTAGAGACAGGGTCTCACTCTATTGCCCAGGCTAGAGTGGAGTGGTATGATCATGACTCACTGTAACCTTAAACTCCAGGGCTCAAGTGATCCTCCTGCCTCAACCTCCCAAATAGCTAGGTCACACCGCCATACCTAGCTCTTTAATTTTTTTGTAGAGACAGGGTCTCACTATATTCCCCAGTCTGGTCTAAACTCCAGACCTCACACCATCCTCCCACCTCAGCATCCCAAAGTGCTGGTACAGGCATGAGCCATTGTGCCCAGCCTAATATGCTCTTGCATACCTTTTTAATAATATTGATGTATCACCTAAAAAATAAATCAGGCCAGGTGCGGTGGCTCACACCTGTAATCCCAGCACTTTGGGAGGCCGAGGCAGGCAGATCACTTGAGGTCAGGAGTTTTGAGGCCAGCTTGGCCAACATGGCGAGACCTCAGTTCTACTAAAAATACAAAAATTAGCTGGGCGTGGTGGCACGTGCCTGTAATCCCAGCTACTTGGGAGGCTGAGGCAGGAGAATCACTTGAATCCAGGAGACGGAGGTTGTAGTGAGCTGAGATCACACCTCTGCACTCCAGCCTGGGTGACGGAATATGACTCCATCTGAAAAATATAAATAAAATGTATTTTAAATTTAAAAAGAACAATGAAAAGGATGGCATTTTAACAGAAAAAAAGGTAAAAGGGAACAAAATGAAAACAGTAACAATTATACTTAAATACTATATAGTTATTACTGAGCACCATAAACATGCCTGTTCCTACCTAGCCATTACTTGCTTCTGAGAGTTTAGAAACCTCTTTATTACACATAAGCAAGCAACTCCCATCTGTAGAGCAAAATACACACGCTCGAGCTGGGATTCACAGTTCTCTTCACAGTTTGGTTCCAGTCCACCCTTAGTGATCCATTTCCTGCTATCCTTCTATGAGCCTGTTATTTGTGATACTGAACTGTTATTTGCCAGTTCTGGAGGGTAAAGGTAACAAGCACAATCCCTGGCACACAGCAAGCTTTTGTCAAGGGTTGGCTTCCGTTCCTGTGCATGGAACGCTCTGCACCTCTCTCCCAGCCCCAAGTAAAATTCCCCTCAAGACCTACCTCAAATGTACTGTAATCAGAGTCCCCACGGGCAATTAGTTATCACCTCTCTTCTCCCACGGCACCTGTTTTTACCTTAGCTATCACACTTTTATGATCGTATTACAACTTAAATCTCTGCAACCCAAAGTCTGGACCTTGGGCCATCGGCATCGACATTAGCTGGGACTTTGTTTGAAATGAATCTGGGCCGGGCACAGTGGCTCACGCCTGTAATCCCAGCACTTTGGGAGGCCGAGTCGGGCAGATCACAAGGTCAAGAGATTGAGACCATCCTGGCCAACATGGTGAAACCCCGTCTCTACTAAAAATACAAAAAAATTAGCTGGGCATGGTGGCGCGTGCCTGTAGTCCCAGCTACTCGGGAGGCTGAGGCAGGAGAATTGCTTGAACCTGGGAGGCAGAGGTTGCAGTGAGCTGAGGTCACACCACTGCACTCCAGCCTGGTGCCTGGTGACGGAGTGAGACTCTGTCTAAAAAAAAAAAAAAAAAAAAAAAGAAATGAATCTGGGGCCCACCTGAGACCTATAGAATCCGAATCCGAACTTTAACAAGATATCACTGATTTATTTGCACATTAATCTTTCCCTGGTTGAACTGTGAGCCTTTCTAGGGTTCTCTTTCATCTCTGTCCCCCGAGCCCAACATAAGACTTGACACTCAAAGGTTTTAAAGTTTTATTTATAATATGTATATGATAGATTTTAATTTCTGGAAAAATAAACACACATTATTAATAATAGTTATAGGTAGATAATGATGCATAATCAGCATGGATTATCTTTACAGATAGAGAAACATGAAGATTTGGGAAAATACATGTAAAATGTAAGATAAAATGTAAATTGTAAGATATAATACATTCAGAAAAGGTATATAATTGTGTGGAGCTACATTTACAGATATAAAAAGATGAACAAATTACATTAGGTTTTAAAAAAAGACAATCTAACAGTATGTATCAATGATACCATGTTTGTTCTTTGAAAAATTCGTGAATTGGCCCAGCACAGTGGCTCATGCCTGTATTCCCAACACTTTGGGAGGCTGAGGTGGGAGGATCCCTTGAGCTCAGGAGTTTGAGCTGGGGAATATAGTGAGACCCCATCTCTATTAAAAAATAAAATTTATGAATAGACACTGAAAAGATACACATCAAAATATCTCTAATAAAGTTTGTTTTACAATTTTCTACTTAAATGTTTTCTAATTTTCCTATGATCTTTATAAAAGCATATCACTTATAAGAAAAAAGTTATTTTCATTTTGGAAAAATATCTATACCCTTTACTAAGCCACTTTACATTCAATGACCAACATTTCTACAGTGCTCTGGGAAGCTGAAAGGTCTGAAAGTAATAACCACCATTACATGAATGACAGTAGCGGGCCTTGGAAATGTGACCCCAAAGGAGTGACTCTGGCCTGACATTGTCCCACCCTGCAACTACTCCAGACTCAGACGAATGTGGCAAGCCAGATGCCAGCTTTGGCCAAAAAAAAAAAAAAAAACCCTGTCATTTTAGGAGTCTCACCATGCGCAGTGACTTCCTCTGAGAGTCTAACAGTAACCGGGAACCCTTGAAAGACAAAGCATTCCGAGGGATTCATGTTGCACCACCTCCCCCTGGTGGCAGGTGCTGGAAATTGGCTTAAAAAATCTTCCAGTCGGCTCAGCATGGATGCCGCATGGTTAATTACTGCAATTAGTCAAAATTTTTAAAATATACTCTGTCAAAATCATACTTATTTCTTTAAATCATCAAAACCAGTTTTCCTTTTGTCAAGAATTCAAGTATTGACAAAAGGCACAAAGGCAGGACCTGCTGTCAACCAGACGATGCTGTGGATGATACCAAGGGCAGTGTGGCTCTTTGCCTCCTGTCCTAGCCTTCCTTACCTCAAGTCTACAAGGGATGCAAGGCACTATGTTCTTCAGCAATGCCCTTCCTGCTTTCTCTCTAACTCCATCCACTTCCCTGAGCCTCAGAAAAGGGCAAGGCGCAGGGCTCATATACTCTCAGTCACGGCCTGGCATGCAGCAGCTCCTTCAGACATCTAAGCACTAATTCCCCCACAGGACCCACCCAGTCTTCAGGTTCAAGGCACTGATATTTCAAATATGTCAGACTGAAATACTGATGTTTCTTTAGAAATAGCAGGGTGCAGCAATGTCAGTCTTCAACTGTGGTCTCCAGAAAAACACAGCTTCCTTACTCTTCCAGGAAGAAGGAAACATTCAATAGGATATCTGAAATAGGAAGAGAGAAAAACTGGCATTATCACCTCTCCAGAGAATATAAAACACACAGAGGCACAGCAAGGGCATCTTTCTAATGTTTCCAAAGAGGTGGGCCACAGGGAAATAAAGAAGGAGAGGAGACATGAAGGAAGAACAAAAACCCAGTACCTTGTACAAGATCTTGGTGTTCATCTTTTGAAATTCGGTCCCAGGCCTTGGGCAAAGCTTGGATGTTTGCCAAGTCTCCCCACTGGATAGAAGAAAGAAGATACTTTCTCTTCAGGTACCTTCCTGGAAGTTAAGGACTGCTCAAAAGAAAATGAAATATGCTGAAGGAGAAGAAGAAGAAGAAGAAGAAAAACACACCCTGGTAAGAACCAGAGGGAAGAGGGAAGTATAAAAGTGAAAGGGCAGATATCCTTACATTTTACCAAGCGGGCCTGATTCACCAATGCTACAAATATTTCCTACAAATATTTCCTAATATGGTTTTGTGCTACAGGGAAAGAGGAATGTGACCATCCCTGAAATCTGGGATCTCAGCACGGCGAGGACAAAACCAGATCCTGAGAAGAAGAAACAAAAGTGACATGAAAGGTAAAGCTCAGTGGAGGTTGGGAGAATCAATACATCCAACTCAGAGGACAGCAGGGACACTCCAGCTGGTAGGAAGCATAAGCAAAGGCACAGAAGCAGAGAGGCATGGAATGAATTCAGGGAAAGCAAATCTTCCAGTCTGCTCAGCATGGATGCCGCATGGAGAGCAGTCGGCAAAGCTGAAAGGTGGGCTGAGCCAGAACAGAAAGAACACTGAGTACCAAGGTAGGGACTTTGAACTTGATCCCACTGGCAACAGGAGCTATTCCTATACAGTACAGTACAATTCTGATCCTAAGTAGCAGGATCAGAACCAGACTTCCTGAAGATACAGAGTGAGATCATTAATTGGAGTCAGCTTAGAGGGAAAGAAACTAGAGACAGAGAAACCTGTCAAGAAGCTACATGCAATTAAGAGTCCAAGTGAGAGAGGTAAGAAGCCACGTAAGCAGCAGAGGAGACAGAGAAGGAAAATCGAAGAAGCACCAGAGAAACAGAATGAAAGGACTTGAAGAGTGACTGTGTCAACATTCTGGCACATAGCAAGTGCTCTGTCATGTCAGCTGCAGCTCTTGCTCCTTCTGCCCATGCTCCTGTTGCTGTTACTACTGCTGCTACCCATGCATTTAAAAGAGAAAATAGGCCAGGCGCGGTGGCTCATGCCTGTAATACCAGCACTTTGGGAAGCTGAGGTGGCAGGATCACCTGAGGTCAGGAGTTCAAGATCAGCCTAGCCAACGTGGTGAAACCCCATCTCTACAAAAATATATAAAAATTAGCCAGGCGTAATCTCAGCTACTTGGGAGGCTGAGGCAGAGAACTGCTTGAACCTGGGAGGTGGAGGTTACAGTGAGCCAAGATCATGCCACTGCACTCCAGCCTGGGCGACAAGAGTTAAACTCTGTATCAAAAAATAAACAAATAAAAGAGAAAACAGGGTGGATTCTACAACTCAAGGAAAAGGAGGCTGAATTTGAGGGCTAGATTGAGGAGTTCAATTGTAAACTTGAGTTTGCAGTTCCAAGAACAATCTAGTTGCAGGCATCTGCAGGAAACCAAAAATCAAGACTAGAGAAAAGCAAAGCTGGGGTTTGGGAGTTATTCACATGAAGGCAGAAACCTAAGCCAGAGGCTAAAATTAGGTATCAGGCAAGAATTGAGAGAAGACCAGGCATGGTGGCTCACACCTGGACTCAGCATTTTAGGAAGCCAAGCTAGTAGCATCACTTGAGGCCAGGAGTTCAAGACCAGCCTGGTCAGCACAGCAAGACTCCATCTCCTAGGAAATTTTTTTTTTTTTTTTTTGAGAGAAAAAGGTTAGAGCTTCAACTAATTTGGTCTTTCTACTTTTACCTTTGCCCCCAGTACCCCAAATCTTACCCCACAACAAAGCCAGAATGATACTGTTGAAGACATAGATCTTATCCTCCTTACTCAAAAGTTTCTAAGGCTTTTTCTCTCACTCAAATGCTTTTTATTTTGGGGGGAGGGGGGCTGCAGTTTGAGACAGGGTCTTAATCTGCCACCTAGGCTGGTTCACACCTAGGCTGGTGATCACGGCTCACTGTAGCCTTGACTTCCCAAGGCTCAAGCAATCCTCCCATCTCAGCTTCCTGAGTAGCTAGGACTACAGGTGCACAGCACCATGCCTGGCCCAAAATTCTTTTTTTTTTTTTTGAGACTCTTATCACCCAGGCTGGAGGGCCATGGTATGATCTTAGCTCACTGCAGCCTTGACCTCCCCCGTTCAAGCAATCCTCCAGCCTCAGCCTCCCAAGTAGCTGGGACTACAGGCACACACCACCATGCCTGACTAATTTTTGTATTTTTCTGTAGAGACAGGGTTTCACCATGTTGCCCAAGCTGGTCTCAAACTCCCAGGCTCAAGCAATCCTCCCACCTCAGCCTCCCAAAGTGTTGGGATTACAGGCGTGAGCCACCACACCCAGATCCCAAATTCTTTCAAAGACCTTCAAGGCCCTACAAAGTCGAGCCCTATCTTACTACCCTCATCTGCTATTAAGCTCCCCCTCATACTCTGCTCTAGCCTCCTTACTATTTTCTGAATATACCAGAAATGTTCTTACCTGAAGGCCTTTGCATTTGATATTTCCTCAGCCTAGAACTTTCTCTCCCCAAATATCTGCATAGCTCTTTCCCTTTCTCTCTTCAGATGTTTGCTCAAATATCACTTTCTCATGAGGCCTGCTCTGACCACTCCATTTTAAATCACAACCCTCCCCTCCCCTCCTCACTTTCCCCGCTTTATTTTTCTCCGTAGCACTTATCATCATCTGACATTCTCTGGCATTCTATTTTCCTTTTTTTTTTTTTTTTTTTTTGGCATTCTATTTTCCTTTTTGAATGCGTGTCTCTCTGCACCAAGAACAGTGCCTGACATGCAGTAGCTACTCAATAAATTATTAGAGGAAGGATTGTACAAAAGAATGCAGGAAGAATCCAAGTTCAGGAACCCCCAAAGAGAACTGACCCACACTATATAGTTATCCAATCTTGTGAAAACTGAAGTTTGAAAGACTTACAACAGCTCTGGCTATGATCTGAAAGGTGTGCAAAGGATACGAATTTCGATAATGCCTCTCAATATCTCGCAACCATTCCAACATGTCAGCCACAGAGGGGCTCACCGCTGAAGACTGCAGGACAGCATCAATGCCAGCTGTGTCTGCGTGTTGTTCATAGATCTGAAACACTCGCTCCACATGGCTGCTGACTGTGTCTCGCACCTTGAGGAGGATGGCTCTGTAGGAAAGAATCTGACATTAGGCAGTATCATGAGACAGGTCTAAAGGAGGGTTTCTCAATTTTGGCACTACTGATATTTTGGGCTACACGATTCTCTGTTGTGGAGAGCTGCCCTGTACATTGGAGGATGCTTAGGAGTATGCCTGGCCCCTACCCAATAAACAACAGGAGTAAACTATACCTATACCCTCCATAAGCCATAACAACCAATGTCTCTAGATGTTGCCAAATGTCCCCTCATTGAAAGACTATCCCCAGGCCGGGCGCGGTGGCTCACACCTGTAATCCCAGCACTTTGGGAGGCTGAGGCAAGTGGATCACAAGGTCAGGAGTTTAAGACCAGCCTGGCCAAGATGGTGAAACCCTGTCTCTACTAAAAATACAAAAATTAGCCGGGCACGGTGGCAGGCACCTGTAGTCCCAGATACTGGGGAGCTGAGGCAAGAGAATTGCTTGAACTGGGAGGCAGAGGTTGCAGTGGGCCGAGATCATGCCACTGTACTCCAGCCTGGGCAACAAGAGCAAGACTCTGTCTCAGAAAAAAAAAAAAAAACAAAACAACCATCTCCAATCGAGACCAGTGGGATAAGGGAATTAGTGACAATGCCTTGGAGGTAGGAGTGGCTCAAGAATCAAGAAAGGGGCTGGGCGTAGTGGCTTGATACCTTAATTCCAGCACTTTGGGAGACTGAGGCGGATAGATCACCTGAGGTCAGGAGTTTGAGACCAGCCTGGCCAACATGGCAAAACCCTGTCTCTACTAAAAATAAAAAAATTAGCCGGGTGTGGTGGTGCACGCCTGTAGACCCAGCTACTTGGGAGGCTGAGGCATGAGAATCACTCGAACCCAGAGGCAGAGGTTGCAGTGAGCCGAGATAGTGCCACTACACTCCAGCCTAGGTGATAGAGTGAGACTCCATCTCAAAAGTAAATAGAATTTTTTTTAAATTAAAACATTAAAAAAAAAAAAAAAGGCCGGGCGCGGTGGCTCAAGCCTGTAATCCCAGCACTTTGGGAGGCCGAGGCGGATGGATCACGAGGTCAAGAGATCGAGACCATCCTGGTCAACAAGGTGAAACCCCGTCTCTACTAAAAATGCAAAAAATTAGCTGGGCATGGTGGCGCGTGCCTGTGATCCCAGCTACTCAGGAGGCTGAGGCAGGAGAATTGCCTGAACCCAGGAGGCGGAGGTTGCGGTGAGCCGAGATCGTGCCATTGCACTCCGGCCTGGGTAGCAAGAGCGAAACTCCATCTCAAAAAAAAAAAAAAAAAAAAAAAGCCAGGTGCAGTGGCATGCCTGTAATCCCAGCATTTTTGGAGGCCAAGGCCAGAGGACAGCTTAAAGCTAGGAATTCAAGGCCAGCGTGGGCAATATGGCAAGACCATCTCTACAAAAAATTTTAAAAATTAGCCAGGTATGGTGGCAATCACCTGTACTCAGGAGGCTGAGGCAAGAGGAGTTAGAGGCTACAGTAAGCTATGAGCATACCGCTGCACCTCAGCCTGGGCAACAGAGTGAGACTCTGTCTCTAAAAATAAAATAAAAAGAACACAAAGTATTAAGTAAAGCACCCAATATTGTTTTGTGAAACATTCCAATTATATACACATGTATGTGTGTCTATGAATGATACAAAATATATTTCTTTTTGTAAGTCAAAGTCCAAAGCTAAAAACCACTGAACTAGAAAAAACCAAGTGCCTCTTGGGTGGTAGGCTTTGACAGGCAGTGTTTTATTTTTTAAATTGAGATATAATTCACAAACCATAAAATTTACCATTTAAAAGTATACGACTTGCAGTAAACCTGTTCCGTATGATACTACAATGGTATATAAATGCCACTAAAGGTCAGGCGTGGTGGCTTACACCTGTAATCCCAACATTTTGGGAGGCTGAAGAGGGTGGATTACTTGAGGTCAAGAGTTTTGAGACCAGCCTGGCCAACATGGTAAAACCCCGTGTCTACTAAAAATAAAAAAATTTGCCAGGCGTAGTGGTGGGCACCTATAATCCCAGCTACTCAGGAGGCTGAGGCAGGAGAATCACTTGAACCTGGGAGTGGAGGGTGCAGTGATCTTATGGAAGTTGCAGTAAGCCAGGATTGTGCCACTGCATTCCACCCTGGGAGACAGAGTGAGACTCTGTCAAAGGTGGCAGGCAGATCTAGTAACTGTATGATTTTCTACATTAACTTACCCATCATTTCATGAGCTGCTTTACCTCTCTGATCTCATCTTTCTTTTTTTTTAGAGACAAGATCTCACTCTGTCACCCCGGCTGGAGTGCAGTGACACAAAGGTGGCTCGCTGCAGCCTTGACCTCCTGGGTTCAAGTGATCCTCTTGCCTCAGCCCCTTGTGTAGCCCCCGTGTAACCACAGGTGCTCATCCCCAAACCCAGATAATTTTTTGATTTCTTGTAGAGTCAGTCTCACTTTATTGCCCAGGCTGGTCTCAAACTTCTGGTCTCAAGCGATCCTCCTGCTTCTGCCTCCCTGAGTGCTGATATTACAGGCTGAGCTGCCATACCCAGCTGATCTCATCTCTTACCAGGCCTCTACTCCAGTCATACTATTCTCTTTTTTTTTGAGACAGAGTCTTGCTCTGTCACCCAGGCTGGAGTGCACTGGCACAATCTTGGCTCACTGCAACCTCCACCTCCCAGGTCCAAGAGATTCTCCTGCCTCAACCTCCTGGGACTACAGGTGTGCACCATGATGCCCAGTTAATTTTTTGTATTTTTAGTAGAGATGGGATTTCACCATATTGTCCAGGCTGGTCTCAAACTCCTGACCTCAAGTGATATGCCTCCCAAAGTGCTGGGATTACAGGCATGGGCCACCGTGCCTGGCCAGTCATACTATTCTCTTTTTTTTTTTTTTTTTTTTTTTTTTTTGAGACGGAGTTTCGCTCTTGTCACCCAGGCTGGAGTGCAATGGCGCGATCTCGGCTCACCGCAACCTCCGCCTCCTGGGTTCAGGCAATTCTCCTGCCTCAGCCTCCTGAGTAGCTGGGATTACAGGCACGCGCCACCATGCCCAGCTAATTTTTTGTATTTTTAGTAGAGACGGGGTTTCACCATGTTGACCAGGTTGGTCTCGATCTCTCGACCTTGTGATCCACCCGCCTCGGCCTCCCAAAGTGCTGGGATTACAGGCTTGAGCCACCGCGCCCGGCCAGTCATACTATTCTCTATGCACACTACTCACACCCATGTCTTGACTCAGTTTACACCTTTTCAACCATCAGGTTTTAAATATCACTTCCTCCCAGAAGTTCCTCCCTCCTCAGAAGCCATACTTATCAATATCTTAAAACATCTCACAATTTAATTCACTGATTGTCTATTTCTTCTGTTCTATTAAGAACAGGAAGCAAGTCTGGTTCATTATTGTATTCCTGGCATCTTGCACTGGTGCCTGATGAATGTATTTTGTACAAATAAATAATAGGAATGTCCTCATCTGTGACAGTTTCCTATTAGTCTATGGCACAGACTCTGTATACTGGAACTTTCTTTTGTTCTGGTTCAAGGAAAGGATACACATGTCTTGTCTCTTCTCTGTCAATAATCTGTAACTCTCATCCTGGACAACAAAGTAAGCCTCCATCTCTACAAAAATTTTTTAAATTAACTGGACATAGAAGTGCATGCCTGTTGTCCCAGGTACTCGTGCGGGCTGAGATGGGAGGATCGCTTGAACCAGGGAGGTCAAGGCTGCAGTGAGCTGTGATCATGCCACTGCATTCCAGCCTGGGTGACAGAGTAAGACCCTGTCTCAAAAAAAAAAAAAAAAAAAAAAAAAAATCTGTAACTCAGATACTGAGTCTGATAACAAGTGTATCTGAACTTAGAGATGTGCTACTCCTGGGCACAGAGATTCCAATCTACAGCAGAACAAAGTGGTGATTAAGAGCTCTAGCTTTTGTGTCAGACACACTTGAGTTAGAATCCCAGCTCTACTCTTTACTAGCTGTGTCACTATGGGCAATCTGCTTGAGCCTCAGTTTCCTACCTGCATGGAATAAGTGCAGTTAAGTCAGAGATATGTTGAAGAGACTTTATGATGTAATATATGTAAAACCCTTAGCTCTGGCACCTACTAAGTTTACACAGCTCCTCACTGCCTTTTACCAAAGAAAAGGATAGGGGAGAGCTAATACACTTTCTTTGCTCCTTTTCTGTTCTTCTGTGACTTCTACTAAGCCCACCACAACCATGCCTAGTCTCTGACAAGGAAAATACCAGAAAATGGCTTTCTGACAGAGGTCCCACTGCCTCAGATGTAAAGTAAGGAAGGCTGAGATACCTCCAAATGCCATGCTTTCAAGGAGAAAAACACCTTCTAGACTGATCCTAGCTACATATAAAACACCTTTTTATAAAATCCTTCCACCAAGAAAGAGCACTACGGAGCCGCTTACAGCCTTTCCCCTAGTTTGTCCAGGATGATGTCACCAGCCGCCAGCTGCTTGCGCTTCAGTCGCTCTTTTAAGTCTGGGAAGGCCCGAAGCGCCGGCACATCCTCAAACCTCAGGTTCCGTGCGGCCTGCAGCTGCTCCGCCAGGTTGCTGAGGGAGACCAGGAGGGGCTGGCAGTCTAGCAGGGCGCTCTGCCACAGGCCCTGCTGCTCTTCCACCACGGGGAAGCACTTCTTCAGGGCCTCCTGCACGGCAAGCAGAGGCCGGTCTTGAGTCATCTTCTGTTGACAAAGATAAAAACATAAAGAAAATAACCATGTAGGGGTGCCAAGTCAGTCGGGTAGGCACTGGGTCGAGGGTGGGCGGTCATCTCCATCCTCGTGTTTGGACAGGAGTTGTCTCACCTCCAGAAATGGCTTCTTCTTCTTCTTCTTCTTCTTTTTTTTTTTAAGATGGAGTCTCACTCCATCTCCCAGGCTGGAGTGCAGTGGCGAGATCTCAGCTCACTGCAACCTCCACCTTACAAGTTCAAGCGATTCTCTTGCCTCAGCCTTCAGAGTAGCTGGGATTACAGGTGCCTGCCACCACGCCCAGCTAATTTTTGTATTTTTAGTAGAGACGAGGTTTCGCCATGTTGGCCAGGCTGGTCTTGAACTCCTGATCCGCCTGCCTCGGCCTCCCAAAGTGCTGGGATCACAGGCGTGAGCCACCGTGTCAGGCCCTGCCTCAGCTTTGTGAAGGAGATCCTGGCTTTCCCTCGGGAAGGGTGACTTGGATAGGGCAGTCTCCTGCTTCAGAGGATTCCCGGCATCCAAGCGCCATCTATTCTCTGACCCAGAGGCCAGTCTCCCCTGCCCGAGGCTGCCGGTCGCCTTCCTGAAACCAGCGGAGACAGCCAAAGTGTGAGAACCCTCCAGACCTGCACACGCACCAGTAGTCTGCCTGCGTGTGCTCAAACGTGACCACCCCGCAAAGCTCCTCTAGCCTGCAGGGCTACTGAGTCGCGAAAATATATCGTAGTGCCGCAATGACTTCTGGGTACTGTAGTTCCACATGCGAATTGGCCACTGGGCTTGAAGCTTCCTTGAGATGTTGCAGCCGTCCCAACACCGCAACTTCTCATTTGTCAGCCTGCGGCAGTTTAAATTGGTGGCGGTGTTGCCACGTCCTATTAGCTGGGAGTCTCTTCCTCTCAGCCTGCGCCTCCGGCTATGCCTTAATGACATATTTCACAATGTTTGTGGCACAGCCAACTGGCAAAAACTAGTGAATCAGGGGTTCCTGACGTGGCAGCTCTAGCTAAGATGCAGGGGGACGTCCTAGGTGCCCAGGGAACTCGGGTGCATTGGGGAGTGGGGTGAAAAAAGCCCTGAAACCAAGAGGCTGGAAGCCCGACTTGCCCAGCATAAAAATACCTGCTGGGGGGAGCCTGCATGAGGTACCGGTTGTCATCCCCTCTCATCTTGGCCATCTGCCTGATGAAGATCCTCAGGCACCCAGCAGACTGGGGTGTCACCGCCATCACCCACTGCCCAGGGCTGACCTCGGGCTGAAGAGCGACATTCAAATACTTGTTGCATATGGAGCAACAGGACAGGCTGGAAGGGAGAGAAAGGACTCTCCAGGAAGGGCCAGGCTTGCCCGGGCCCCTATGCTCGACCTGCTGTGCCCCCAAGCTCGCTGGTGCCTATCAGGAGCCTGCTTGACACCTTTGCTTATTTCCTTGATTGTTCCTGAACTCAGAGAGACAAGATTATCACCCCTACAGTCTATAAAATACACACTTAAACACAAACACAAGCCCTCTGACATGGCTTCAGACCGCACCCACAGGTGAAAAGCACCAAATCCAAACAATCATTCCACAAACCCGTCAAGAGCTCACCAGTCTGGCAGTCCAGTCGCCGTCTGCCTTGAGACTCAGCCTGAGCTATCGCTCTGATCCCTGGAGACTTCGAGACTAGCCTCTAGGCTTGCTGGGCCTCAGCACAACCCCTGAGCAATCCAATCCTGTGGCTGTGGACAGATGCCAAGATGCACAGTTAGCACCTCCGACTAGACCGCGGATCGGCGGGGCTCGCCGTCTACACGCCCATTCCCAGGCCCACGGCCTTGACACCCAGGGCTGCCTTGGGCTCCCTGTTGTCTGGCGACCGCGGCTCCTGCTGCAGTCACCGTATGGCCAGCTGCCAAGCGCCACTACCTGCCCCTGAAGTCGCGGCTCCGCACTGCGCACCCAGTCGAGGCGCCAGGAGAGAACTGGGCAGGAGGGGCCAGCCTGCGGGCGAGCGAGGAACGAGAGGGTTCCCCCACTTGCTGTCCCGACTGGCCGCGCGCTGGCGCCGCCCACCCCCAAAGCCTGCACCCTTCCAAACGCTGCTGGGTGGGGCTGCTCTGTCCCCGCCGACCCTCCACTTGCCCGAAGTTCTCTCCACTTGTCCGAAGTTCGGCCTGGGGAGCTTGGGGCCCTGAGGAGCGCAAAGGTAGGCAGTCAGCCAGTCAGTAGTAAATCAGTGGGTCACGGCGGCCCTCGGCTACTCAGTGGCTACCAGGCCAGAAAGAAGCAGCCTCCTAAAGTGCTGGGATTCCCGGCGTCCAAGTGCCCCCAGCCCTCCAGAGCTTACAGTGGCGGGGTGCCGCCGCAAGGCCTGCCGGGAGTAGTAGTTTATATCGTTTGCAGCTGGCCAGGGCGGAGCCGGCTGGGAGGTGGAAAGGGCGGGGAAACAATCTTGAACCACAACTCCCAGGAGCACCCGCAACGGCGGCGGCTGCGCTGTCGTAATCAGGCTGTAGAGAGCGCATTGGGCGGGAGACCCCGGACCGGCAGGAACTTGCTTGTGATTGGATGTTGTGGGACGGCGGCTTCTCATTGGTCAGCTTGTGGCCGTGGAGTTTGAATTGGGTGGCGGTTGGTAGTAGAGCCGCTCTCTCTCACTGGCACAGGGAGGTTTTGCCTAGCCCTTGTCTCGGGACCGCAGGTACGTGCCTGGCAACTTCTTCGGGTGGTATTCGTCTGCCTTTCTCGTGCCTACCCGGTTCCTTGCCTCCCTGCACCATCTCCGCCGCTCCCCGCAGCCTCCGCCGAGCACCATGGCTCCTAGGAAGGGCAGCAGTCGAGTGGCCAAAACCAACTCCTTACGGAAGCGGAAGCTCGCCTCCTTTCTGAAAGACTTCGACCGTGAAGGTAAGGGGCCGGGCCGTCGCAGCTTCCCGGGGCGGTCGCGGGATGCTGGCGGGTGGGGGGACACGAGCGGCACCTATTCGCCCGCCCCGTGACCCGTGTCCCGTCGGCTCTGCCCTCCCGCAGTGGAAATACGAATCAAGCAGATTGAGTCAGACAGGCAGAACCTCCTCAAGGAGGTGGATAACTTGTACAACATCGAGATCCTGCGACTCCCCAAGGCGCTGCGCGAGATGAACTGGCTCGACTACTTCGGTAAGAGCTGGAACGCTTCCCTGGGCGGAGGCCTGGAGCCCCTTGGGGTTAGGTGACACCCTTCAGAAAGGGCTCGCTCAGATGGCACCTTTTAATGAGATCTGACATGACCACTTAAGGAAAATGGCAGACCTACTGCTCCCCTTCACTCTCTGTCTCACTTCCCTACTTCATTTTTCTCCATGCTTTTCTCTAAAGGTCTAGCTAGCAAATATTTTAGTCCACTGGTGCGGGGGGGCGGTGGGGGTCTCTGTCGGAGTACTCAACTCTGTGATACAGTTCCAAAACAGCTGTAGTGAATGGGCATGGAGGGGCTGTACTGCAATAAAATTTTAGTTATGGATCCACTGAAATGTGAATTTCACATAATTTTTCCACATCAGGAAATAGTATTTTTATTTATTTATTTATTTTTTTAGACAGAGCCTCAGTCTGTCACCCAGGCTGGAGTGAAGTGCAGTGGCGCGATATTGGCTCATTGCAACATCCACCTCCTGGGTTCAAGTACAGCCTCCGCGTTATGGGTTCAAGTGATTCTCCTGCCTCCTGCCTCAGCCTTCGGAGTAGCTGGGATTACCGGCGCCTGCCACCACACCCGGCTGATTTTTGTATTTTCAGTAGAAACGGGGTTTCATCGTGTTGGCCAGACTGGTCTTGAACTCCCGACCTCAAGCCTGCCTCCGCCTCCCAAAGTGTGGGATTACAGGCGTCAGCCACTGCCTGGCCTGGAAATAGTATTTTTTAAAATATATGTGTATTTTGGCCGGACGCGGGGTTGAGGGGTGTGGCTCACACCTGTAATCTCAGCACTTTGGGAGGCCGAGGTGGGCAGATCACAAGGTCAGCAGTTCAGGACCAGCCTAGCCAATACGATGAAACCCTGTCTCTACTAAAAAATACCAAAATTAGCTGGGCATGGTGGTGGGTGGCTGTAGTGCCAGCTACTCAGAAGGCTGAGGCAGGAGAATCTCTTGAACCCGGGAGATGGAGGTTGCAGTGAGCCAAGATCATGCCACTGCCCTCCAGCCTGGGTGACAGAGCAAGACTCTTGTCTCAAAAAAAAATTTAAAACAAAAACCATAAAAATATATGTATATTTTCCCCTTCCCATGTAACAATGAATAAATGATGTAGTCAGTTAACCAGAGCTCAGGTAGAAGAATAACCTGAAGCAGCTCCTTTGGCAGCTTATGGAAATTGCTACCTTAAAAATGGACACATCAGTTTTCCTAGCCAGAGAAAAATCCCAGCCTGTTTCCCCCCTCCCTTATTAAATGTCCATCGAAATGCAGGAGGCTGGACTTTCTGCTGGATTGCCTTTTCTTTTTCTCTTTTCCTTATTATTAATTACCCAGCATGTAGTCTCCTTCTTGGTTAGAAATGCATGTTCTGCTCACATATTTGACATTTAATGATCCTTTTGACTTGCCCTTTTATTTATTAATATTAAGCCATTCGTTTGCTCATTTCCACAAACATGGAGCATGTGTCAGTCACAGTGCTAGGTGCTAAAGATGCACTGGGGAATAACACAACAGTGTCTCTGCCTTCAGGAATATGCAGGTTAGTAGAAAAGAGCTATTAGAAAAATCCACATGCAATTATCTAATTAAGTATAGGTACTACAAAGGAGGTAGAATAGAGTCGTGGTCAGTGAGCATATTTATATTGTGCTTCCTATGCCAGATGGGCATTGTACCAAATGTTTTATATACATTGATGAATTTTTCTTACTAATAATAATATTTCTGTTTTTCTTTTTTCTTTTCTTTTTTTTCTTTTTTTTTTTTAGATGGTGTTTCACCATGATGGCCAGGCTGGTCTTGAACTCCTGACCTCAGGTGATCCACCCACCTCAGCCTCCCAAAGTGCTAGGATTGCAGGCGTGAGCCACCGCGCCCAGCTTTAATATTTCTGTTTTTCAAAACAACAAGATGAAGGTACAGAGAAATTGGATACTTTGCTCAGGGCCTTATAAGCTAGTTAGTGGTGTAGTCTGTTTGAACCCGGGTATTCTGGTTTCATAGCCTAAGATCTTAACTGTCTTACAAGATACTGTGAGGGTTTCTAGCAGGAGGATCTAAGCTAACTTTTTATTCTACATGTAAATCTCACAAAGACCTTTTCATTCAACACATGTTTACTGTACAGCTGTTGTCTGCTAGATTTTTGCGAGAAGCAAAAGATATCATCTCTGGAATTCAGTCCAAGGCAGAGATGGACATTTAAACAGCTTTGAGGAGTTGTTGGGTATTATGAGGGTGAGCAACTAACACCACACTTTGCAGCAGCCTGTGAGATCGAAAAATAAGCAGGCTGGGCACAATGGCTTATGCCTATAATCCCAGCACTTTGGGAGGCCGAGACAGGTGGATTGCTTGAGCCCAGGAATTTGAGACCAGCCTGCACAATATAATAAGACCCTATCTTTAAACTTTAAAAAAGTAATAAAAATTTTAATGAGTTCCTAGCGAAAGGAAAACAAGAAAAATTTTTTTAAAAAATTTTAAAGAAAAATAAGCAGAGGGCAGGGCCTGGGGTGGGGGTTCATGCCTATAATCCTAGTACTTTGGGAGGCCAAGGCAGGAGTATCACTTGAGCCCAGGAGTTCAAAGCCAGTCTGGGCAACATAGCAAGAGACTACATCTCTAGTTAAAAAAAAAAAAAAAAAAAAAAAAAAAAAAAAAAAAAAAAGCCTAGATAACTTGGTGATACCCTGTCTCTACAAAAAATACAAAAATTAGCCAAATGTGGGGGCACATGCCTGTAGTCCCAGCTACTTGGGAGGCTGAGGTGGGATGATCAGTTGAGCCCTGGAGATAGAGAGCTCTTAAGATAGCCACTCCACGTCAGCTTAGGTGACAGAGCAAGACTCTGTCTCAAAAATAAATAAATAAAATTTAAAAAATATTTTTAAAAAAGAAAAATAAGCAGAATTTTTGGGGTGATGTTTGAGCTGAGTTTTGAAGAATGAGTTAGAAATTAGTCTAGGCTGGCGTGGTGGCTCAAGCCTGTAATCCCAGCACTTTGGGAGGCCAAGACGGGTGGATCATGAGGTCAAGAGATCGAGACCATTCTGGTCAACATGGTGAAACCTCGTCTCTACTAAAAATACAAAAACTAGCTGGGCATGGTGGCGCACACCTGTAGTCCCAGCTACTCAGGAGGCTGAGGCAGGAGAATTGCTTGAACCCAGGAGGCGGAGGTTGAGGTGAGCCAAGATCATGCCATTGCACTCAGCCTGGGTAACAAGAGTGAAACTCCGTCTCAAAAAAAAAAAAAGAAATTAGTCTAGTATGGAGGGGAACTTCAGGCAGAGGAAATACAAAGTACCATAGCAACAAGTCATGAGAATCAGTGGCACATTTGGGATATAACTTGGAGAAAGAATAGATTAGATGGTGAAGGTCCTTGAATGTTAGACTATGGGCTGGATCAGTTTTAGAAAGATAAATGGTACTATTAGGTGAGATGATTTATTGTTAAAATCTAATCGTAACTACAATGTTCTTTTTAAAGCCCTTGGAGGAAACAAGCAGGCCCTGGAAGAGGCAGCAACAGTAAGTGACCTGTCTTGTTTTCCAGCTGCTGCTTAGTTCTTAAGTCTAGTCCAGTCCCGAGATCCAACGAATAGGTGCCTACTGTGGAAGAGGTTGCATAGAGGGACGTTATCTGTTTGTATCAAACAAAAAGTTACGAGTTGGGCCAGACACTGTGTACATGAGACCCAGATAGTTCTGCCCTACAGAGGGTGGCCGTTCTATTTTTGACCAATTTCTTGCAGTCGTTTGTCCTGAACTCTACAGTGGAAGTAGAAAGCCTCAAGCCCAAGTTCCTTTAAGCCACTGGGTCATTACAGTATGTGTTAGCCTGCTAGATGACGAGGCTGTTTCATCATGTCATACTGTAGAAGCAGTGCTCTTGCTGGGCATGCTCATTACTCCCCGACCCCTCTCACCTCCTTCCTCCCAGCATCAGTACCAGGATTGAAGGCAGTAAGAAGGGGATACAAAATAGAGCTCCGAAAGCTGCATTGTCCAATAGTAGCCACAAGGTATATGCAGTATTTCAGTTAATTAAAATTAATAAAATTAAGGAATTTATTTTCTCAGACATACTAGCCACATTTTACGTGTTCAGTAGCTACATGTGACTAGCGGCTACTGCATCAGAGAGCACAGAACATTGCTACTCTTACGAAAGTTCTGTGAGACAGCATTGGAAACTAGTCTATACAAGGGCTTCACAGAGTTCCCTAGGCACTCTAAAGTCATATACAAACAATATATGTATACATGCATTTGTGTATCTTTCTGTTAGTTTATTGCAGCCTCCACTGGATTTACAAAGTAAACCCCAAAATTGACATCTTTTGTTGAGTTGATCAGAAGCATTTGGAATCTCAGGGTTTGAAGGAGTCTGACCACCAAGGGTACACAGCAGTAAATCTCCACCAGCTTCATTCAGAAGTTAAAGATAATGAGGAGCTTGGTTGGGCACAGTGGCTCAAGCCTGTAATCCCAGCACTTTGGGAGGCTGAGGTGGGTGGATCACGAGGTCAAGAGATCGAGACCATCCTGGTCAACATGGTGAAACCCCTTCTCTACTAAAAAATACAAAAAATTAGCTGGGCATGGTGGCGCGTGCCTGTAATCCCAGCTACTCAGGAGGCTGAGGCAGGAGAATTGCCTGAACCCAGGAGGCGGAGGTTGCGGTAAGCCGAGATCGCGCCATTGCACTCCAGCCTGGGTAACAAGAGCGAAACTCTGTCTCAACTAATTTGAATGGTGACTGGAAGCCTTTTGGAAGGACCCAGGATCGTCATAGAAAACCTTATTGAGACCCTGTAGATTGATCCAAAGAAATGGTCAGCCTGACACAGGGCCAAGTGTAGGAGAAGATGTAGATCATTAGGAACTTGCATTGTTTGCAGAATGGTCAGCCTGACACAGGGCCAAGTGTAGGAGAAGATGTAGATCATTAGGAACTTGCATTGTTTGCAGATGGGCTGTAGACAAGGGTAACCACTTTGGGAAACAATTTGACATAATGCAAAGGCTGAATATTTATGTGACCTATAATGCCTTTGATCCCCTATCCTAAGGACAGAGCCAAGGGGATGCTTGGACATGTCCATCAGACACATATAAGACAGTTCAAGGTAGCACTGTTTATAATAGTATGAAACAATTGATGAAGCATGGACAAATCCATGGTGGTATATTCACACAGTGGGGTATGATATAGCAGTGAAAACAAATTTACTACAACCACAAATAGTGGTGAAAACAGCCAAAACAAAACAAAATGTTTAAGTACATGTGAAAAAGCGTGTCTATGTGTGTACACACGTATACACACATATGCATGTAAATGTGAGCACATACACATACACCTTATGATTAAGCAAGTGGAATGGGATGGTTACCTCTGGGGAATGACAGGATCAGGAGACTTACCACCTTTGCAAGAAGAGACAAGGAAACGGAAGAAGGAATAAATACACAGCCAAAGCAAGTATCTGGCAATGTTTTAGGTCTTGGGTTGTGTGGTGGCTTTATGGGAGTCTGCTACATTGTACATTGTATTATCACTTACATTTAACAGTCTTATGTATCAAATAATAGTTAAAAAAAATTTTTTTATGTCAAAATATTGTTTCTCTTATTTTGGTGAAATAACTCTGGTGCTTTCTGGCTATGTTTGTCATAGGCTGACCTGGATATCACCGAAATAAACAAACTGACAGCAGAAGCTATTCAGACACCCCTGAAATCGGCCAAAAGTGAGTACTTTTCAAAACTCCTTGTCCAATAGAAAGAACTGAGGCTCAGCTTGCTTGGTTGGCTGCTCAGCCAGGGTCTTGTTGGTAGAGGGTCTTCCCTTTAATGTCTGGTTCTTAATCTTGTAAATCCAAAAACTTGCTTTTGGATGCTGTATTTTTATTATTATTATTATTATTATTTTTACCCAAACACCAATTCAAACCAGAAATTCAGTTTATTGTATGCAGGACTGCTGCTAACCAAACTCAAGACCCCTGTGTGAACTAAAGTGAAAGTGAAAAAAGAAAAAAAAAAAAAAAAGCTGTGCTAGAAAACAAACATTGTTGCTGGAAAGGTATTAAAAGACTGGTAACACCAACTGGGACTCTCCCTGATGGAATCAGCAAAGTTGAAAGAGAATTGAAAAAGGAATGACTTGGCCCAGGCGCAGTAGCTCACACCTGTAATCCCAGCACTTTGGGAGGCTGAGGCGGGCAGATCACCTGAGGTCAGGAGTTCAAAACCAACCTGACCAATGTGGAGAGACCCCATCTCTACTAAAAATACAAAATTAGCCAGGCATGGTGGCAAATGCCTATAATCCAAGCTACTCAGGAGGCTGAGACAGGCAAATAAATAACTTGAAACCGGGAGGCAGAGGTTGCCATGAGCCAAGATCGGGCCATTGCACTCCAGCCTGGGCAACAAGAGCAAAACTCCGTCTCAATAGAAAAGAAAATAAAAAAAGAAATGACTTGGCCCGGTGCAGTGGCTGATGCCTGTAATCCCAGCATTTTGGGAGGCTGAGGCGGGCAGATCACAAGGTCAGGAGATCAAGACCATCCTGGCCAATGTGGTGAAACCTGTGTCTACTAAAAATACAAAAATTAGCTGGGCATGATGGTGCGTGCCTGTAGTCCCAGCTACTCGGGAGGCTGAGTCAGGAGAATTGCTTGAACCCAGGAGGTGGAGGTTGCAGTGAGCCGAGATCATGCCATTGCACTCCAGTCTGAGTAACAACAGCGAAACTCCATCTCAAAAAAAAAAAAAAAGTCTTCTTTAATTTTAGTTCATTTCTTAATTGCAGTATAGGATTGCATATGTTTTATTCCTATAAGAAATGTGAATGCACAAAACTTTATTCTCATTAGAAATACCACACTGTTGAAACTGTTTCTTACAGCACGAAAGGTAATACAAGTAGATGAAATGATAGTAGAAGAGGAAGAAGAAGAAGAAAATAAACATAAGAATCTTCAAACTGCAAGAGTAAGTGGACACTGAGGTTGGGGGCTGGGGGTTATCATGAAACAAGCAAACACAAAAATGCATAAAATACATTGTTGTACACCAGAGCTCACAGTTTAGCAGAGATGATCCTACTTTACATGGCAGTGACAGGAGTGATAATTGACTGGTGTCTAAAGTGTATAGAACACAGAAGAGGAAGCTAGCAAGTCTCCTGTACCCCATTAGGACATAAACAGGTCTTTCAAGGTGAGTGAGAGCCTGCTAGCTGAAGAAGAAAGCGAAGAGGAACAGTATTCAGGATAAATGGGGGAGGAGGGAAACTGGAGATGGGGAAACCAGCTGGAAGCTTATGAATTCTTGAACTGACATGCCGATACTATAAAAAGAAGGGATGGTTTTGAGATAGGTTTTAGAAAGTGGCATGGTTGGTAGAGAAAAGGAGGAATCAGAGACGACTGCATGGTTTCTAGCTAAGGCAGCCGCCATCCAGTGAGGTGTGGGACTTAGGCGGCAGAGTGGTGCTGGACTCGGGGTAGGGGGAGTACCTGTCAATTGCATGGCATGTGGACCATTCGATACTTTTCCAGGAGATCTAGGCTGGACAGAAATTTCAGCCTGGAGCTCAGGGAGAAGAGGGAGATTGAGAAATACACTGCCTCCCAGATCTTTAAGTGTTTGTCCCATTGTGGAAGTAGAGATGGTTGTGCAGGAAGGGAAGGAGTCTGAGGGTGAACATAGAGGGAGGATATAGAGAGGAGCTCCTAAGGCAGGCTGCCAAGGAAGCTAGAGAAGCAGGCAAGATGGATCCATCATGGAGGACAAGGGAGGAGAGAATATATGGAAGATAAGGAGTGATTCTTGCCAGGGACCTCCCAGGCCCCAGGAAGGGAGCACTGCAGAGTTTGCCTTTGGTTGGGCACCTGGGATGCCCTGAGTGACCTTGACAGCAGCCCTTTATGTATAGTAGTCAGGACAAGCCAGGCTGCAATCAGTTCAAAACAGATTCACTTTTAATCTTGGCCAAAATCCTCTATGTTGAAAACCCAGCCAGTGGAAATTCAGTTAGTTATGTTCTGAACTTTTTAAGTCATTGAATTCTTATTATATTTAGTATTAACTTACTGCATTTAGTATTAACTATCCAAAGCTTGTTCCCTTTGTTTTTTGGTGGTTTGTTTCTTTTTTTTAAACCCTTTAAAAAAAAAAAAAAGCCCTCCTTACCCTCCTTACCTTTCCTCTTTGCTGGGTTTTTTGTAAACTTAGTGTCATTTGATTGTGACTGCAGGTCAAAAGGTGTCCTCCATCCAAGAAGAGAACTCAGTCCGTACAAGGAAAAGGCAAAAGGAAAAGGTAGTAGGCTTTTCGTTTTGGGTTTTATTAAAGAGCTATATGTATCATGGCTGAAAGTGAGGGGCAGTGGAAGGCTCTGGTGACTAGTGTTTGAGTGCAGCTTAAAATCACTGAACCCTTGAGTGTCTGAAGTATAGCAAGAACTGCCTGTTATGTTTCAGCTCCTGATAGCCCATATGTAGAGCTACCCCATAGCTCATCATAGAGTGGCTGTCACTTACCTATAATTGGTTTCTTGAAATGTTTTGTCCAGTCCTTCAAAGTGAAGAACCATTATGGGCTTGAGTTGATTATGCTGGACTCTACCATAAGCCATGTGGGGATGGTGATACAGCCTAGGAGAGTGGTCACTGGGTTGCATGTCTGTGGAGGAGTGAACTAATTTCTCCTTGAGCAGAGCAGCAGCTGCCTGGCACGAGGACAGAATTCCAGCTGGGGGAGCCTTTGCATAAAGAGGCTATCTCCTTGATTAAAAAGTCAGATTCTGAGGCCGGGCAAGGTGGCTCATGCCTGTAATCCCAGCCCTTTGGGAGGCCAAGGTGGGTGGATCACTTGAGGTCAGGAGTTCAAGACCAGCCTGGCCAACATGATGAAACCCCATATCTACTAAAATCACAAAAATTACCCAGGTGTAGTGGCACGTGCCTGTAATCCCAGCTGCTCAGGAGGCTGAGGCAGGAGAGTCACTTGAACCTGGAAGTCAGAAGTTGCCATAAGCCAAGATTACGTCACTGCACTCCAGCTTGGCTGACAAAGCTGTCTCAAAAAAAAAAAAAAAAGTCAGATTCTGGAGGCAGACTGCTTTGGTTCAAAGTTCTGGCTCCACCCTAATTGGATATGTGATTTGGGGCAAGTTTTTAAAACTCGGTGCACCTGAGTGTCTGCATCCGTGTATGAGGATAGCAGCAGTGCTGGTGTCCCATGTTGTTAGGAGGGTCACATGAGTGGAGGTATGCGAGGTGCCCAGAGCAGTGTCTCACAGTCAGCTCTCTACGTGTCACTGCTCTGCTGCTGCTATTGTGGAACCTGAGAATTGGCATGCCTGATGGCTGTTTCTTACCTGTAGGTCAAGCCGTGTTAACATTGTTACCCCAGCCATGGGCCGCTTGGAGGCATCCGTGGTCAAACCAACTCCAGGCCTGACACCTAGGTTTGACTCGAGGTGAGTATTGAGGGGAACACTTGGATTTGATGGGACTCCAACACTGAACATACCCAGAGAAGTAGTGTCTAAGAAAATACTCTTAGGCTGTGCCCTGTGGCTCACAGCTGTAATCCCAACACTTTTGGAAGGCTGAGTTGGGCAGTTCACTTGAGGTCAGGAATTTAAGACTAGCCTGGCCAAGATGGCGAATCCCTGTGTCTACTAAAAATACAAAAATTAGCTGGGTGTGGTGGCCTGCACCTGTAATCCCAGCTACTCGGGAGGCTGAGGTAGGAGAATTGCTTGAAGCCAGGAGGTGGAGGTTGCAGTGAGCTGAGATCGCACCACCACACTCCAGCCTGGGCAACAGAGTAAGACTCTGTCTTAAAGTAAAGAAAATAGTCCCAAATCCTTGGCCCGGGATGCCTCATCAGAGGACCGTGGCCAGCCGGGTTTCCTGATGTATGCCTCTCCCTTGAGTGTAGGTTCACCCATCTTCAGTGGCAAAATGATTCTTTATCTGATGGGAGGGAGGCGAATATTCTGCCTGTGATGACTAGGAGGCCTCTAGGTGACGTTTTTGGCCTTTTCTGATTCAAATCAGAGAGTTATTATTTTATTTTTAAAATATTTATTTCCTTTGAGGCAAGGTCTCACTCTGATGCCCAGGCTGGAGACCAGTGTCACAATCACAGCTCACTGTAACCTTGACTTCCTGGGCACAGGTGATTCTCCCACCTTAGCCTCCCATGCGTGCCACCATGCCTGGCCAATTTTTTGTTTTTTTGTAGAGATGGGGGTTTGCCAGGTTGCCCAGGCTGATCTTGAGCTCCTGGGCTCAAGCGATCTACCCACCTTGGCCTCCCAACGTGTGCTGAGATTACAGACATGAGCCATCATGCCCCACCTCAAATCAGTTTTTTAAAGATGAGTAGGCACACGCCTGTACTCTCGGTAGAAGTAAAAATTGATACTGGTTTTTTTGAGGCTGGCATAAGCAAGGATGTTCTTGCAGCATAAGTTAATACCTTCCAAAGAACCTAGTTAACTAAATAGGAGATGCTGCATAGCCATTAAAAAAGACTGGATCTGTGTGTGCTGATAGGAAAGAGCTTCATGATCACAGAGCATCTCCGAGCAGGTTGCTGAACACTGTGCTCTATGATCCCATTTGGTTTTATATACATAGAAAGTTTCTGGAAGGGTAGATAAGGAATTCAGAGTGGCTACACCTGGGGATAGAAGTGGTTATCTCTGATGTGGGGAAAGTGTGGAATATTTATTTTCTGCTTTTAATTGCCACTTATTTATTTATTTATTTTTTAGACAGAGTCTTACCCTGTCACCCAGGCTGGAGTGCACTGGTGCGATCTCAGCTCACTGCAACCTTCACCTCGCGGGGTCAAGCGATTCTCCTGCCTCAGGCTCCTAAGTAGCTGGGAGTACAGGTGTACACCACCACGCCCAGCTAAGTTTTGTATTTTTAGTAGAGATGGGATTTTACCATGTTGGCCAGACTGGTCTTGGACTCCTGACCTCAGGTGATCCACCCACCTCAGCCCCCCAAAGTGCTGAGATTACAGGCGTGAGCCACTGCTCCCAGCCAATTCCCACTTTAGTGCTTGTTTTTTCACATGAATATTTAACAAAAGGCATTTAGGGAAAACTAGGTAATCATATTTTAACTGTCTTGAGAAATTAGTATAATGATGTAATCTCTAAATCATCCTCCTTGCCTCTGAAAAATTCCTCCTGATGGAAGCAGCCACTCCTAGAAACAATTAACCAGCTTATTTCTGGCTTTGTGGATGGATGGATGACTGGCACCCATATGGAGCTTTGGACCTAAACTTTTGGATAAGAGTTGACTTTTTGCTAGATGTATGTTCAATAATTACATCCTTCTTTCTCCAGCTGTGTTTAGTCATTCCTGCTTTAAAAATTTTTTTTTTTTAAATTTAGAACTTGCCTTCTTAGGAATGTGTGATTTGAAAACTGCAGCTTGAGGCCAGACGGAGGTTAAAAGCATCTATAGAATCTGGGATCATCCAATTGCCAAGCCATCTTCACAGAGATTTTTTTCCCATTCTAGGGTCTTCAAGACCCCTGGCCTGCGCACTCCAGCAGCAGGAGAGCGGATTTACAACATCTCAGGGAATGGCAGCCCTCTTGCCGACAGCAAAGAGATCTTCCTCACTGTGCCAGTGGGCGGCGGAGAGGTGAAGTATTTCCAAGGGAAGCCAGGCCACAGTGTGCTGCTTAGTCAAACATTTCCCTCCCCTGAGCCCTCACCCACACTTCTCCCTCAGAGTCCTTTCAGTTGCGTGGGTCCTGATCTCCACACTTCTGCAGGACTCAGAACCCAGTTTTCTCTCCCAGGTTAGAGGCCCAGACTGCAAAGATCATTGCCCAGCTCTGGGTTCTATCTGTTTTTCTGATCTCTCTCTCTCTCTCTCTCTCTCTCTCTCTCTGTGTGTGTGTGTGTGTGTGTTTGTGTGTGTGTTTTATTTTTTGAGACAGAGTGTCACTCTGTTACCCACGCTGGAGTGCAGTGGCATGATCTTGGCCCACTGCAGTCTCTGCCTCTCGGGTTCAAGCAGTTCTCCTGTCTCAGCCTCCTGAGTAGCTGCAACTACAGGCACACGCTACCATGCCTGGCTGATTTTTGTATTTTTAGTAGAGATGGGGTTTCACCATATTGGTCGAGCTGGTCTCGAACTCCTGACCTCAGGTGATCCATGCCCCCTCAGCCTCCCAAAGTGCTGGGATTATAAGTGTGAGCCACTGCACACGGCCTCCATCTATTCATCAGCTAACATTTGCCCACCTGATTGTAGCAGGCCTGAGAAGTAGACATGGGGCCTGCCCTTGAGAAGCAGCTCAATGGTCAAGATGGGGTTGCAATCGTGGTATCTGTGATGTGCGCAATAATAGAGATGTTAAAGGGTGGAGCAGAGGAGGGCACCACCGAGCTCTGCGCTTAGTCTAGAATTAGGAGCATGAGCTCTGCCTTCAGCTTTCTGTAACTTTAAGGGATTCTGAAGCAGGCTGAGCTCAGTTTCTCAGGGCTGCATGGAGTGAGGTGCTGACCTCAGCCCCTGTGAGAGGAGGATAGTTTGTTTCAGACGTGCTCTGCAGGGCATTTGGGCATTTCTAAGATAATGCGCATGCCTTTTGTGCCCAGGTATTCCAGTCTCCACCCCAGTGATAGCTCTGACGTTATCATCGTCTCCATAGGCTAACACCCTTCCTGCCTATCTCGCCACTTCCCCATCCCAGCCATTCCCAACCACTAAGTGCAGGATATCAGGGGGATCCTTTGGGGCACACTGCCAGATGAGGGTTCCTGCCCTAAGGGACATGCCAGTTTAACCCACTCCCCTCTCTATACAGAGCCTGCGATTATTGGCCAGTGACTTGCAGAGGCACAATATTGCTCAGCTGGATCCAGAGGCCTTGGGAAACATTAAGAAGCTCTCCGTAAGTCTCATCTTCATCTCCACACATAGCATGCCTCTAGTAGCTTTCTTGCGTTACCTTTATTTAGGATTGTCTTTTGGGCCTGGGCTAATACTTTCTACTTAAATTTATGTTGTCTTCCTTCCCCCCAGAGATTTTGACTGTTACCCAACTTAGATAGCAGCAGTTCTGTTCCGCCGTGTCTGTTGAGTTTTGGTCAATCCTAGAATGCGTGCCACAGAAGTCCCACTACAAAATCACAATTCTGCCTCATTCAGGCAGTTAGTGCTTGGGGTATGTTAGGGCACTATTGGCCACCGGAAATTGAAGCCTATAATAGTTCAAGAATGAGGGTCGGGGCTGTTACCAGGAATTTTACAGCATTAACAGAATCGAAGAGCGAACTGAACAGCCAAGCCTCTGGAGTGGTGGCGCCCGTCAGGTGGGGCCTGTGTGCTCCTTTCCCCCACACTTCGCTCCCCTCTCTCAGCGGATAACCTCCACAGGCTCTAGGTTCTGCTCTCACTTAAGATGGCTTTGCATGTGGCTTTGAGTGACCATACCTCCAACTCCAACTTTATTGCTTCATTGCCCAGCTGTTCAATTTCTTGTCTTGGTTTAAATTCTCAAGAGATCCAGGCGCAGCGGCACACACTGTAATCCCTGCAGCTCAGGAGAAAAATTGTTTGAGTCCATGAGTTCAAGGCTGCAGTGAACCGTGATCGTGCTGCTGTACTCCAGCCTGCGTGACAATGAAAGACCTCAACTCAGAGAGAAATTCTCCAGAGGAAGAATTTAATTGGCTCAGCCAGGGATGAACCTCCTTGGTCCAGTCAGCCATTGTCTTGGGTGGCAGATGGAGCACTTGGTGCAAACATCGCAACCTTACCCTCACTTTTCTGTGGGGTCTGAAGGGCACATCCAAGGAAGGGGACAAGGTGGGGCTGGTTTCCCAAACCTGTCCTTCTGAACATAGGCCCAGTGCTGAGATGACACACACCCAGCCACCCACATCTCGTGACTGCCATCCTCTAGCTAAACCTGCTGCAATACTATTCTCAAATAATCTCATATGATACCTTTACTGTCTCCCTTGAGTTGTTATTTTACTCCCTTGTTCGGATGAGAAAACAAGGTTCAAAAAGGTGAATTCATGTGTGACACAGATGGAGAATGGAGGGGCTGAGGCTCACTCAGACCTGTGCTCAGGCTGACTGTGGGTGGCCAAGGGGCAAGCCTGCCAAGTGGCATCTTCTCCAGTAACCTCTCGCCTTTTCTTTTTAGAACCGTCTCGCCCAAATCTGCAGCAGCATACAGACCCGCAAATGAGAAGCCAAAGTTGACAGGATGGACTTTTAATGGGCACCTCTGGGACCCTGAAGAGACTTCTTCCCTTCAGGCTTATTGTTCGAGTGTGAAGTTCCAGAGCAAGGAGCCATGTTGCTCTGGGGGAATTCAGGAATTCAGACATGCTCTTCCCACACCAGTTAGGTAGAGCTGTGCTATTCAGCCTCCCATTCCAGCCGACCCCAGCCACTGCTTGCTGGCTCCATGCCATAGAAGCTTCCTATCAGTCTCCCAGCTGAATCCTCCCTGCTCTCTGAGCTGCTGCCTTCTGCCTCCTGTAACTCAGCATCCTCTTCAACCTACCCTCCCTGCAATTGAGAGGGCACAGAAGAACCCTGTGTTCTCGGGAAGACTGCCTTCACCACCCCTACCCAGAGAACCTCTGCGTCTGGCATCTCTGCTCTCTATGCTTGAGACTCGGAGGTTTAGGCTCAGGTAAATGAGCTCTGGGCCATGAGAGGGCAGATCCCATGAGTGGGCGGAACTGTACAGATCAGCAGAACAGGACAGTTGGCAGCAGTGACCTCAGCAGGGAACATGCCCATCTCCCCTCCTGCACTCATCACACCTCCCCCTCCCAGCCTTCCTCCTCCTCCTCCTATGAGAGGTGCTAAATGGGACTTTGGGATCTTTCACCTGCTGTGCCCAGTAGTTCTTTTAAAACCCGTTTGTGGAACAGTGTTTTGTGTTTATCCCTGTTTACTGGAGACCAAATACTGGTTTGGAGACAGCTTCCATGTCTTGCTCTTCTACCTCCCTAGTTAGTGGGAATTGGGATAAGGGAATTGTAGGGCTTAGATTCTGGGGGTTTTATGTGATTGTCCATAGAATAACTGTCTCTAAGCTGTCCCTGGTCCAGTGGTCAGCTTAGAGACAGTTATTCTATGGACAATCACTTCAGAGAGCACTTCTCTGTTACGGAGCTCATGGGGGCAGGGGAGGGTGACTTGCTTGGTGGTCTCATTCCATCTGTGCCTGTGCCTGGGGCATGGGCTTTGTTAAATGGAGTCAGCAGTGAGGTCCTCATGCTCCAGCCAGCCTCTCTGTCCCGGAGAATCATGCACTGTGTTCTAAGAATTTGAGAACTAGAGTCCTCACCCCCAGGCCTAAGGACACGTGGCTTTCTCATGTAGGGCTCTTTGTGGTAGTTACTATTTTGCAACAAGACCATTTTGGTAAAAAAGTCCTGTTCAAGTTGTATTCTTTTAAGTTCTTTTATTCTCCTTTCCCTGAGATTTTTGTATGTATAGTTATTCTGAGTAATGGTATCTCTAAGCTGATTGTTCTAGTCAGAGCTGGTACCTGCTTTCAATAAATTCTGGTTTTGTGTTTTCTTTTGTAATCATTCTTCATCCTGCTTGTCCTCTCCAAACTGTGCTCTGTGGACTAGGGAGACAGGAACTGGTGTGGGGGTCTGCACAGCTGCTTTTCTCAGAAGATGTGAAAACTGCTTCAGGCAGAATCATTCTGGTATCTGAAAGAGGGGCTCACTACAAGATCCAGGGCATCAGAACCTTCATCCCCCAGCAGAGCTCCCCAGTACCTTCATTCCATGAGCTAGAAATTTATATCTGGAAGGAGAACACCCAGGGTCTCTCAAATTTCCCAGTACAGTGGACTTTTGCTGGCCACGAACAAAGTGGGGCAAGAGTAATTCAGTGATCATGAGTCTCACTTCTGAGAGTTTCTGAGGCCCTGGCACATCTGCCTCCCAGAAGCCTAGGCTGAAAATGATCAACAATCAACCTGGAGCTAATGATGCAGAGGGCTCTGCCTAAAAGAAGACAACCTGGAGCATACCTAGCCAGGTTACCGGGCATGGACAATTTAGAGACTAGAAGCCTGGTGGTGACAGCATTTGGAAGAAGGGTTACTCAGTGCAGGTAAGTAACCCAGACTACACGTCATCAGGCCTGAAGAGCCTGACACCAAGGAAATACTTAGGATCCAACACATTTTACCCAGAACCAGGTTCCTCCCATTTCACTCCATCTGCACCACGGCCTAAATCACCTTGTAGGAAATACATGTTATGCAGCAGGTGCCTAATTAATGCCTGGGACTGAGACATGGCAGTTCGTCATTTCATATAAGGGGCTGGCTTGGAAAGTAAAAAGGTCCCCATCCCAGGATTTTTTTTTTTTTTTTTTTTTTTTTTTTTTTTTGAGACTGAGTTTTGCTCTTGTTGCCCAGGCTGGAGTGCAATGGTACGATCTTGGCTCACTGCAACCCTTGCCTCTCAGGTTCAAGCAATTCTGTCTCAGCCTCCTGAGTAGCTGGGATTACAGGCGCACGCTACCACACCTAGCTGATTTTTGTATTTTTAGTAGAGACGGGGTTTCACCATGTTGGACAGGCTGGTCTCCAACTCCTGACCTCAGGAGATTCACCCACCTCAGCCTCCCAAAGTGCTGGGATTATAGGTATGAGCCACTGCACCCGGCCCCATTCCAGGATTTTTTTCCAAAAAAAAATTTTTCTTATCATTTCATATCTCTTGCTGATATATTTTGCAGAACTTATGTTCCCACCATCCAAGGATTTTTAAGTACAGGCTGAACTATGTTACAGGACTGGAACAAAGACAATGTAAATCTTACTGCCAGGCCCAGACGTGCTTTCACACTCATTGGGTTGGGTTTGTTTTGTTTTGTTTTTTGTTGTTGTTTCCAAATTAGCGGCTAACCATTTAAATATGGGGTGATTACACAAAGATTGCTAGCCTCCTAAAATAAGATCTGACAGCCCAGGCCAACAGTCAGCTGGAGCTCAGTAGCAGCTTTCCTGGGCCCACGGAGAATCCTCTTCCGGTTCAAAGCAATCCTAATGAGATTACTTCTTCCCTTGATGTTACCTGCCTCATCTCTGTAGGCAATTTAGTTTGCACTGTCTGCTGTGGAGAGAAAGCATAGAAAAGTAGGGCTGCCCCAGGTTGAAGGGAGGATGGAGGCCTGGAGTCTTTCCCCAAGGCCCCTGGGGCAGTTTCAAGGAAACCTAGAGGTCCAGTAAACAGCAGGTTCATTCTTTGTCTTATAGGGCCCCTGTTATTTCCAAAAGCTCTACTTGGGGCTTCCTGTTGTGAGGATTACAAATGTATTATCTTGAAAGGGTTAGATTACATTACTCATATGAAGAGTTAGCTCATGTGTGTGTATGGCAGGACATCACCTAAACATTTCTCCAAAGCATCAGACATGCCTTTTACCCGGATAAATTAGTATCCCCGGCCCCACCCACGATAATAAGCTCATATACCAATGCAGGGCTTAGCTCCACGAGTTAGCCCCGCACCTCTGAAAAACAAACCATGTCTCAGTGTCCACCTGTGTACATGCTCTGGTGGGTCCGTTTTCTAATTTTACACAGTATCATAGCTGTTGACCCATACCTAACGTTCAGCATGACATACATGCTCAAAACTTTCATAGTAGATAATTCCTGTGGCTTCAGAAATGGAAGGACTGAGACACATGCTTGAGAGAGGATTCCATCAGAATTGGGGGCTGCACTGGGCTCCCCACTAAAGGGGAGTCTGGAATCCAATCTGCTTTGCCTAAGGTGCCATCTCCCTTTCCAGAATTAGACATTTCCTCAGTCCCATATCATGCCTTCCTGCATCACCCCATCTGTCCAACGAGGCCCCTCTGTCCCCTCCCTGCCAGCTGTAACCTGTGCTTCTCGCCTTCTATGCTTTGCCATCATCCTTCCCTTAGTTGATATTAGGATCTGCCTGGTTTATCTTTTCTGATCCTTGGGTGGTGGATATGGTGGAGGACAAACATACCCTTGGCACCAAGATACCAGGAAGAGCTCAGCTCCGTCTGCAAATTTTCGGTACCCACAAACACGCCCATGTTACAATACGCTAAGAACCATCAGGATGGAGACAGGTGACAATCTTCAAGGATACACTCTTCCAATTGAATGCCAAGGTTACCCTGGCAAACCTCCTCCCCTTGACTTTTTATAAGGGCCCAGCTGAAGGTCAAGAAGGAGTGCTGGCCGGGCGCGGTGGCTCATATCTGTAATCCTAGCACTTTGGGAGGCTGAGGTGGGCGGATCACCTGAGGTCAAGGGTCCAGGACCAGCCTGGCCAACATGACAAAACCGTCTCTACTAAAAATACAAAAATTAACCAGGTGTGGTGGCACAAGCCTATAATTCCAGCTACTCACTGAGTCAAAAAAATCGCTTGAACCCAGGAGGAGGAGGTCACAGTGAGCCAAGATCATGCCATTGCACTCCAGCCTGGGCAACAGCAAGGCTGTCTCAAAAAAAAAAAAAAAAAAAAAGGCCGATTCTGTGGCTCATGCCTGTAGGAGGCCAAGGTGGGTAGATCACAAGGTCAAGAGATTGAGACTACCCTGGCCAACATGGTGAAACCCTGTTTCTACCAAATACAAAAATGAGCTAGGTATGGTGGCGAGAACCTGTAGTCCCAGCTACTCGGGAGGCTGAGGCAGGAGAATCACTTGAACCCAGGAGTTGGAGGTTGTAGTGAGCCGCACCACTGCACTCAAAAAAAAAAAAGTGCTGTGGGGTGGAGGAAGGAAAAGGGGCTGAGGAGAACCCTAAATGAAAGCCAAGGGAAGGTGTTGCAATGGGGAAACAAGTTTGGTTTTGATATTTTCATTTTCTTCTTACACTTATACAATCAGTCTTAATCAAAACATATTCCTTGGAGCTAGGCTTGAGATACCCATTATCTGCTCCCAAGATGCTGATAAGCAACGTGAGGTCATTCATGAACCAAAACAACTTCTGACTTCTCTGTTGCCCCAAGACCCCAGGGGCTCCACCAATAAACTCAGGTGGGAAATGTCCTGAGAATAGCAGGGTTTTTCCAAGATACTGGCAGACAGTTCCATTTCAACGCAAAGGGTACAAAAAGATTTAAAGGGAGGGGTGCAGTGCAGGGCGGTGTGAGCTCTACTCACATCCTGAGCCATGGGGTGGAGGTAATGTTAGGAACTGAGATGCCTTCCTCTAAGGCCCAGAGCACAGGCATTGGCTCCCAAAGGCAGCGAACACAATACCCACTTTCGCCTGGGAGCCCACTCACACCTCCTTGGGGACTAGGTCAGGTAGTGCTCTCCCCTAGTCCCCAAAACACCTAGGATTCATCCCTATTGCCATGGCTTGGATACTTTTTACTTAACTGACTTTCCCATTGCACAATGGGGCCTGACATGGCCCGAGCCAGCCATCTGGCAGGTGCCTAGTCCATGTGCAGTGAATGGGCAAATTCCTTGTCAAGCCAGATCAGCAGGCCCCCTGCCTGGAGAAGGTCCATTCCTGACCACATGTTGTACATCTGCCTGGTACCTCTCGCCAGCTAGGTGATAGTGATGATGATGATCTAATAGTAATGCTAATAACAAGTGAGCACTTCCTGTGCTCTGTGTGCCAGGCACTGGGGTAATGCTGGAGTCCTGCATTTCCTGACTGCATGCCTCTTCTGCGGCTGACTTTGGCAGAGCAATGCTGCTAACATCTAACCCACTCCTCATTCATTCCTCCCCACCGGGAGTGACTTCTTAAGCGGAATTGAGGGACAGAAGGAACAACCTGCTAGCCTCAGGGCCATCTGGCTTCTCCTGCAGGTCTGCTTGCCCACAAGTAAGGTGCACCCTGCTCTGCTCCCATCATGCAGGAGCCAAGGGGGCGGTGCTGCCCCTGCAGCAGGTGCCTGCCCCACACGGCTCAGCCTGGCACTGGGTGGGTCTAGTTCAGGGGAATGATGGGAAACACACTTTGTCCCTGATGCACAGCATCTTATTAATTAAAGATGTACATGTTAACATCTCTGAGATTGGGATGCATCTTCCAGTTGGCTGTGATGTTTCTTTCTTGGTAGGACATCTCATACTCAATGGCATCTTAGATTCAAAGAAACTTGGTAAGCAACATTCTCTAGTTAGCCTTATCAGAGAGCTGGTATTTTGCTCTCTGTCTGTCCCAAGGAATTAGTACTTAACTGGCTCTGAGCACAGGCAGTGGGGGAAGGGGTATTACTTATCACCACCCTCACCAACCAATCCCTTGCACTGAGCACTTCCCATGTCCTGAACTATGTAGATGAGGAAGACGCCTTCTCCAGCCTTAAGAACGTGAACGACCCGGGGCAGGGAGCGGAGAAGCACTAGCAAGCCAACTGAGACATGCAGGACTCATGTGGTCCAAGTGTGTGCGTGCACGTGTGTCCACGAGTACATATATGTGCACATGCATGGGCACTCAGGCCTTGCCCCTGCACCCTTTGGCTCCTGGTCATTGTCTCAGCCCACTCTTCCTCCCTTCGCTGGACTCCTCAGAGATTCCCAAAGTCCACTCCCCAGTCCTCTCATCTGGCTTCCGCCTGACAATGAAGGTCACCTTTATGGGTTGAATTGTGCTCCCACCAGCCCTCTATGTGGAAGTCCTAACGCCCAATAACTCAGAAGGTGACTGTATTTGGAGACAAGCCCTTTAGAGGGGTGATTAAGTTAAAATGAGGCTGTTAGGGCGGGCCGGCATGGACCACTTTAATATGACTGGCATCCATATAAAGGGGAAATTTGGACTTATAGAGGGAAGAATATGAGAAGAGACAGAGTAAGAAGATGGCCACAGGCAAGCCGAGAGAGAGGCTCAGAGCGGTTGCTTCCCTTGCAGCTCTCAGAAGGAAACAACCTTGCCCACATCTTGGACTTCTGGCCTCCAGAGCTGTGGGATGGCAACTCCCCGTTGGCTAAGCCACCCAGTTGGAGGTGCTGGGTTACAGTAGCCCAAGCAAACGAACACACTCACCGAGAACATCCCAGCGCCTGCAGACAGCCACTCCTCCCTCCTCTCTCACCTCTTCTTTGTTTTTCTGCTGTCACCCAGGCTGGAGTGTAGTGACGCAATCTCCGCTCACTGCAACCTCCGCCTCCTGGGTTCAAGCGATACTCCCGTCTTAGCCTTCTGAGTAGCTGGGATTACAAGTACCCACCACCACATTCAGTTAATTTTCGCATTTTTTTGTAGAGAGGGGGTTTCGCCATGTTGGCCAAGCGGGTCCCGACCTCCTGGCCTTAAGCAATCTATGCACCTCGGCCTCCCAAAGTGCTGAGATTACAGGCGTGAGCCACTGCACCCAGCCATTTCCCCTGTAAGTAACACCAAAACTTGCTCTCCAGCAGCAATGGCACAGCTCCTGTTGGCCTCTCCCACTGCCCCCCTTCATCCAGGTGCCTGCCAACACTGGTGTCTCCCCACTCCTGCACATGCTGGCCAGGGGGCCTCCTTCTCCCTGAGGCTTCCACCCCCATCTGAATGCTGACGACTCCAAAGCTCTGTCTCTAACTCACATATGTGATCCAAGGTTCGGAGCAGATATCCCCCTGCCTCTGGACATCTCTGCCGCATATCCTGCAGGCATCTCAAACAATACCTATCCAAAACTGGGCACTGGGCATCCTTTCCTGGTCTCTGCCATCCCCAGTACATCTGTCCCAGCGAAGGGCTCCACTGTGTCTGGGACACCTCCCTTGGTCTACTGGTCCTGAGACTGGGTGACAGACTTCTCTACATACCCAGGGCACCCTGTTGCCCTCGGTACCCTGGGTCACACCATCCTGTCATGGATCCTGGGATGTCTTTCACAGCAGGAGCAGTGTTGGACTCAACTCTATGCAGAGAGATCTCAGACGCACACTCTGGACAACCCCGTCCCAGAGGAAGGGGGCAGAGACCCTTCCATACCAGCTATACGATGATCAAGCAACTGCCACTCAAAGAGGCACTGCATCACAGACAAGTTTTTATTATCCTGCATAGAGAACCCAAGAAATATAAAAACATCTCCAGGAGGAACCCCCTCCAACTGTCCCCTTCTTTCCCTGGGTGAGCTCAGACCAGGGTAATGGGGGCTTGCAGGCTACCTCTGTCCAGTGAACAATTTCCATATAAAAATAGATCTGTAGAGGGCTCCCAGAGAGCCACTGCCCACACCACACCTGTGCAGGACCAAGGCCTGGGACCCATCGGGATTCTGGGACCTCACTCCTCAGTGGAGGGGAGATCTACCCTGGACACCGAAGTCTTGCCAACATAGCCAGGGGCCCTACTGCAGGAACAGCTGGGGTAGGCAGAGGAGACTTTGCCCTGCAGAGAATGACTGATGTGGCTGGAGATGGGGATGAGGCTCCATCCACCCAAGAAGGGATGCTCATCCCCACATCCCCTGGATGCTGGTCCGGGTTTCCCAGGAGGGGTGGGGTGGGGAAGGCGGATCCTGGAGAGCACCTAGCCGGGGGCTCCCCCAACCCTGACAAAGGTGGTAGCAACATCTTGGTCTCCTCAGTACTCCCAAAGTCACCGAGCTGGGGCGGGTGCTCAGGAGACGGGGAGGCAGGGGGCTGGGGGAGATTCCAAGAGGTGGGGAGCTGCTGCTGGCAGGGTGAGGCCAAAGGCACCGCTGTGAGTCATGTCCCCCACCTCGAGGTGCTCTGCAAAGATGCACTGCACCTTCCCGCCTCTGGGCTCTTTCTCATGCTAGCCTCTCTGCCTGGACTCATCTTGTCTGAGGCCTGCCATCTTGCCTGCCGAACACTCCACCCACCCCCTCTCTCACCTGCAAGGCCCTGTTCAACTTAATCTCAACTTCACACATGGAGAGTGGGCATCTCCCCTCCAGCCTACACACCCACTGACCCAGATGGCTGCTGGGGACCCTGAGCACTGGTGGATGGTGCTCTGGAATGACTTCTCGGTACCTGAGCTCTTCTCCTGGGCTAGCCTGAACCCCTGCAAGGGCAGGCTGTGTGTCTCTTTCACCTTCCTCTACTCCTGTCTCCTTTCTGCCCCATCCCACCCCACCCACACACCGCCAAGCAGAGCAGACAAGTGTCAGGGGTGGCCTGGACAAACTCAGCCCCTGTAGCCCCACCGAGATCCAGCTGCCTTCCTGCCATCGTACAAAAGCTCTGGCACCCTGACCCCCATCATTCTCAGGGGCCCTTGCGGATAAGAAACTCCGCAGTGGGCTCAGCACAACCACTTCTGCCAGGGCTCCACAGAAGTCAGAGCGGGGAGGGGCGGGCTCCATGGAAGGCTGTTTAGTGCCCAAGTCATGGAGCTGGCTGGAGGGGGGTCGCCTCCAGAGTCCCCACGGGCTATACAGGGAAGTAGTGGTGCCATAGGGCAGGACAAAGGACTCTCTCTCCAGAGCCAGCCTCGTCCCTGGGTTGGGTTCTGACCCCAGCTCTGACCCTGATTCCTCACTTGGCTTCAGTTTCCCCCATCTGGGGGTTAGACCAGCCTGTATAAGAGAGAGGACCCATCTCTGAGTCTCCTCTTCACCCTCCTCAAGGCTGGAGAGAAAAGCTCTTTGGTCCCTGGGGAGATGGGCCTTCATGCTTTTCCCAAATGTCCTGGCCACTGAGTTCATAAAAAGAATGCACACGAGGGCCTCTTGGGGCCTCAGCGAGCACCAGAGCCTTTGCCGTCCGGCCTGGCCAGGACTCTTGGCCTCATCCGAACTGTCAGCCCAAGGCAGGCGGACACAGAAACCCCAGCTCCTGAGTCTAGGGCTCTTGGGCGTCAGCCCCTGAGCTCAGCACCACCTTTGCCTGCCTGGGCCTTGGCCAGCATCCAGTCAGCCCCGCCAAGGCACAGGGAGCTGAGAATGATGCGACTCGGGCCCTGCCCCTGACACCTGAGCCACCAGGCAGCTGCGGTCACTGCCAGGTGGAACAAGAGCACCCCAGGACCCATGCTGTCTGACTGGTCACTGGGTCTGTGGGAAAAGGGAGCACCCCCGGGGTAGGTCTCAGCCTCTAGTAGGTACACATGGCAGTTGGGCATGGGCCAGGCAATCTCAACCCAATGTCTTCCCTCCCATCCCTGCCCCAGCTCTTCTCTGAGACCCTGAATTTCCTCCTGCTGTTATCTCAGGGGTCCTCCCTAGAGATCTGAACCTCTTTTCAGGGACACTGAGTTGGCCAAGATGTTCAGACTGGTGGAAATGGGAGGAGCAAGCAGTGAAAGTGGGGAAGCTGCGGCCCCACACCAGATCTGGGCCCAAGCAAGGAAGACGGTGCTCCCTCCCGCTGCTGGAGCGCAGCTTGCCACGGTCCTTGGGCAGGGCTGGGGGTCTGGACCCCCACTGGAGTCCTGCCTTGAAAGAAGGAGGGCCACTCACACCTGTACCCCCTGGCCCTGCAGCTGGAGCACTCGTGCCTGCAGGGCACCGATCCCGCTAAGGAGGGCCTCTTGATGTTCAGCCGAAGAGATGCCCAGGCTCACCAGGTCCCTGAAACAAAGGCTGGTCACACCGGCTGGCTTGACCCCAACTGTTGTTCCTCCCACGAAGGCCCTCCACTCTCCCTCCCCTTTTCTGGACAAGTCAGGGCTCCCCAAGATAGGCAGGGGCAGGGTCCCTGGAATCCCCCAGCCCTAGCCTTGACCTTGGTGCCTTGGACTCACTGGGCGGTCATCTCGGCCACGGCCTCCAGGCTCCCGTAGCCAGCAGCCGCAAAGCTGTCCTTGTAGCGGCACAGGTCCAGGGCCTCCAGCCACGCACCCACAGAGCCAAAGGAGGGGAAGGTGGAGAAGGCACGGTCCGCTAGTGGGGTGGGAGGCCTGCGGGTCAGAGGAGCTGTGCTCAACCGACAGCTGGGATCTGGGCCCAGACCTGGTGGCCTCCCGAGGAGAGGCCAGCTGAGGGTGGACAGGAGAAGAGGAGGGTAACTGGGCCCCAGGGCTGACCCCGGCTCACAGGGGCGCTGTGCATTCCTGCAGAGGCAAGGGCTTCAGGCTCTTCAGGCAGGTGGAGGCAGAGCCAGCTAAAGGTATGGGAGTATCTGAAACAATCTGGGGTAGGACATTCCTAGGACTGGTTGGTGGCTCGTATTTGGAACAATGAATATTAATTTCACATATTTGATTCATTGGAACTGCAGATATGTTAGGGCTATTACCAAGTCTGTCTCTCCAGTCAGAAGCCATTGCACCCAGGGATGTGGGCAAAATCCAGGAGAAGCAGAAGTGACCAGGACAGATGTGCAGTGAGGTGGGCCTGGGCAGGTGGGAGGCTACAGCCCTCTGGGGCAATGGGGTGAGCAATCACTCCGGGACAGGGAGGGGGTGGGTGGAGGTGGGGGGTCTGCACTTGCGACATGCAGGGAGGCCCTCCATGGGCAGATGAGAGGCTGGGGGTCCCCCATGGGAACATACCTGGGACAGGTGGTTGGGGCACACTTAGGGGGCTCTGGGTCCTGCACCGTCTTGCTCAGGATGCTGTGGATCTGGGAGAACCTGGGCCGCTCACCTGGGTCCTTCTGCCAGCAGTCAAGCATTAGTCGGTGCAGCAGAGTGGGACAGTTCCTGGGGGGTGGCAGCCGAAAGCCATCCTCCACAGCCTTGATCACCTGGACCATGGGGGTGGAGAGCAGAGAGGAGGCTCTGGGATCCCCCAGCACACCATGCACACACACACACACACACACACACACACACACACGTTGCAAGGAGGACTCGGGCAGTGGTCAGGCAGAACCAGACACAAGCAGACAGAGAAGAGGGGCCTGGGGCAGGAAGGCTGAGGGTCAATGGGCAGAGGTCAGGGAGCTGGAGCCCGAGGTGAGAAGGGCGGAAGGCCTGGAGCTGGAGCCACAGATTACTCACGTCTTGGCCAGACATGTCCCAGTAAGGCCGCTCCCCAAAGGCCATCACCTCCCACATGACGATGCCGAAGCTCCACACGTCACTGGCAGAGCTGAAGTGACCAAACTCAAGTGTCTCAGGGGCGGCCCACAGCGCCGGGCTCCGGCCACTCTGTAGGAGCGGGCAGGTCAGGGGCAAGGAGGAACCGGGTCACACGCAGGTTTCCCCACCACGCCGAGCCCCAGATCCAGCCCTGCACGTCATCCTCCCAGGCAACCCCTAACCCCGGCCTCACGTCTGGGAAAGGCAGACACACTGATTTCAAGGCAGGGTACACTCTGACATTTATTCCAAGACCGACTAGGTGGAGGGGCAGGGAAGGGAATGGAAGTGGGGAGCTAGGGGCTCCAGGGCAGCTTGGTGGGAAACAGGCGGTGCAAGCAGGCTCGGCTGGGGGAGGATGCCCTCACCATGGTGGTGTAGACAGCCTCTGCTCGGTCCCGGGGGCCTCGCCCAAAGCCAGAGATCTTGCAGACAAGGTCGCTGCTGACCAGCACACGGCGAGCCGCCAGGCCCCGGTGAACGTAGCCCATCTCTGACAGATACTTCATGGCTGATGCCAGCCCAGGCAGCAACCCCATCAGCTGCCCAGCCATCAGCTGTCCCTCGTGCCGCTGCAGAGGGAGGAGACAGAGGCCAGGACTGTGGGCTTGGATCCCCCAGTGTTGGGTGACGCCACAGTGGTCACCTAGCTCTCACTGTGCTTTATCCTGTGACCACAGGTCAGCCCAGCCAGTGGGGAAGATGCCAATCCCAAGCCCTACCAAAGAGAAAAGTGGAGGACCCCTGCCTGCTTTACAGAATAAAGTGGTCATCGGCAGCCCCAGGGCCACTCACCCTGAGGAAGCCATCCAGGGCCCCATGGCTCATGTACTCGGTGACAATCATCAAGGTGCTTCCTGTGCCCAGGGATGAGAACACACACGCTAAGTTGCCTGCTCACCCTCCACCCCGCACACACACAAGTTTCCCCACCGGGGCCCCGGACTGGGCCTCGAGAGCCAGAACCAGCACCAAGCTTCCTAACCTCAGCACCCTCCTGCCCTGCCCAGGGCCCCCTAAGCCAAGGAACAAAAGAGGAGACATCTGTAGGGGGAGAAAGGTCAAGGTCAGGAGCTGCAACAAGCTTGCTAAGGAAGCTCACTCAAGGGCAAAGGGACCCACCCCCTAGAGTATCACAGGCCAGAAAGGTCACTCTGAGCCAGAGTGGCCACTCCAGGAGAAGGGCCACCCTGAGTCAGTGAAAGCTGAAGCCGCTAGCTGAAGTTCCCTCCCATGGCTGAGGGAAGGACCTGGAGGGGCAGGGGCACCCCAACTCCCACCCCATCATTTCCACCCCCCATACCCGGGGCAGCAGGAAGGGGGGCACCGGGCCCTACCTCGGGTGACAACACCCTCCAGCCGCACGATGTGGCTATGGTCAAACTGACCCAGCGTGAGGGCCTCGGCCAGGAAGCCGAGCCTCTGTGAGTCGGAGGCACTGTCCCTCAGTGTGTGCACGGCTACGGGCAGCTCCTGGCGGCCGGGGAGCTGCAGGCAGCCACAGCACAGCTCCCCAAACCGTCCTGTGGGAAAACAGCGTGACTCTGACTAGCCTGGCCAACACAGCAACACACGTAAATTAACCAGGCGCGGTGACGCATGCCTGTAATCCCAGCTACTTGGGAAGCTGAGGCAGGAAAATCACTTGAACCCAGGAGGTGGAGGTTGCAGTGAGCTGAGATTGTGCCACTGCACTTTAGACCGGGCAACAGAGCGAGACTCGGTCTCAAACAAAAAAGAAAAAAAAAGGAAAGAAAGAAAGTAACTAGTGACTCCAGATAATGGACTCTTTCCAATTTAAGTCCTGGTAAACAGAGTAGCAGTGTGACCTGGAATTCCATCTCTTTCCCTCCCTTGGCCTCAGTCTCCTCTGTGAAATGAGGATTCCTCCCTGCCTTCCTCAGTGGGGGGAGGTTTCTAAGACTTGAAGAAGGGATGTGGCGCATGCCAGTGTGCCAACAGCCATCAAACCCCATGTGACCCAGGACAGATGGCAATGACCTGTATTCTGCCACCCTGCCCCTTTCCAGCTTCTGTCCAGCGGGTCTGGAGACAGTGTCAGGGAATAATGTCAGGTTCCCCGCGAAAGCAGCTGCCGTCTCTGAGCACAGGGGTTGAAGATTTGCAGTCAGGAAGAAAGGCTGGCAGGAGTCTGGCCCTTAGAGGGTAAGCATCAACAGCCAGCCCCTGTGGGGAGTACTGGGAGGTCCCCACAACAGCCCCCAGGAGGCAGATATCATGCCCATGTCACAGATGAGAAACTGAGGCTCTGAGCAAAAGAGGGACATGCCCTTGATCATGAGGAGGTCAGTGGAAGGGCCAGGCCTAGAACTCAGGTATGCCTGGCCCCCAGGCTTGCAAAGGCCCTTCCCCCCCGCCACATGAATGCCTGGGACTAAACTGCCAGTGGCAGTGTGCAGAGGTCATGGAGGGACCTTGAGGACCGGGAGAGGGTCACAGACCCTCTGCCACCCTCTTCCCTGTAATCAGCCAAGGCAGGGACTTTCTGGGTGGAGGGTGGGCTTGGTGTGGGCTTGGTGTGGAGGCAGGGTTTCCAGGCAGGGACTTGGGTGGAGGTGGGCTTCAGGATAGAGGTGTGGACAGAGTAGGGGCATGGCCTGTGGAGTAGGTGGGGCTTCCACATGGGGACAAGGCTTCCTGGGCACCCAGCTTGCCTGCTCCAAGGCTCCTCTCCAGTGTGACGCTTTTCACATCCAGCTCCTTGGCGAACAGATGCACAGCCTGCAGCGGGTCCCCACAGCTCTGGGGGTCCAGGAATGTGCGACGTGTAGGGACTTTGACTGGGAGAGAAAGAGATGAGCCTGGGGAAAGGGGCCTCCATCGCTGGGGCGGACACAGGGGCTCATGCAGTGGAGCTAGGCCGAGGGCGGAGGAGTGGGGCAGGGTGGAGCCCAACCCTCCCAGCCAGGCCCAGCCAACTCACAATGGAAATACAGCTCCTCTTCATCATGGGCATCCCCTCCTCCTTTGCCATAGCTGCAGGGCCTGGCAGGAAGTTCAGGGTCATTCTTTCAGCCAGGCTGCCCCAGCCCTTCCCACTGCAGAGCATTGAAGGCAACACCTCTTTGTCCCTTCAAAAGACAAGGTCTGTGCCCTGGGGGAGGTACCTTCTCATCCAGCTGATTGAAAAGCTTCTCTGTGGTTTGACTACCTCCCCATAGCACAGATACAACTGTAGCCCTAGACCAAACCTTCACCACTGCCACCCTTCCCAGCTACTTGCACACAGTGAAAATGATTGCAGCTCCAGAGGCACCCAATCCACAGCCTGACTGCAGGCCCCAGCTGCCCCTGCCTGCGGTTCTGTGAAAGTGTGAATAACGCAAGCAGACCCAGCACTCGGGGCAGCTTCTGGTCTGATCAGGAAAACAAACACGGAGAGTTAGCCATAAGCCCACTCACCAGTGCCGGCAAAGGAGAAGGGCGGTGTACTGTGGGGACATGGGACAGACAGGCCTGACCTGATTCGAGGTCACTGTGGATGGCTTCCCGAGACAGAGGCAGCCAAGGGCCAAAGGACTGCATCACAGTCAACAAAGCCACAGGCTGGCACTTGGGCTCCCCCAGGGGCGGGGCCTCACTGGCCCAGATAAAGACTTCAGCTTTTATTCTGGGAGCAGAGGAGAGCCCCTGTGGGGTTTAAGCAGAGGAGTGCAGTGATTTGATTTATACTTTAGAAAGAGCTCCAGTTGCAGGGTGGAAGCTGCCGCTGGTGGCACCACAGGGGATGAGCTGGCAGTGGTTCTGCCATGGGGTCAACATGGGCATGGAGAGAGGCAGGGGACTCCAGTGACAGGAAGGTGACAGGGACCACAGGACTGAGAGGCGGCCGGATAGCAGAAAGGAAGAGGGACAAGTTGCCCATGGAGCTTATGGCGGTGCCATTTACTGGGACAAGGAGACAGAAAGTTCACATTTAGACATCTGAGTTTGTGGGCCTGGGGAATAAGCAGGAAAGATAAGAAGGGAGTTCAACGTGTGTGTGTCCGGAGCTTGGAAGAGAGGCCTGCTCTGCAGACACAAATCAGGAGCCACGAGCCTGGCCCAGGGAGAGGATGGAGTCCGAGAGGAGGGACTGGGAACAAGTCTGAGAAACCCCAACATGCAGGCTAGAGGAAGGAAGCAGGAGGACAGTACAAAAGAACCGCCAGAGGAACAGGAGAGAGCGGGGTAACTGGGGGCGCTCTGCAGGCGATACTGCAGTATCACAGGGATCAAGGACAGAGAAAGCAGAGCAGGTGGTGAGAGAAATCACACAAAGGTACAAGGAGGAGAGACCAAGGGAGGAGTCTCCAAAGTTTTCACGGGAGAGACGATGGTGTGTAGATGCAGATGGGAAGGAGGAGCAAGGCTGTCACACAGGGGGAGGTGGCCGCCAAAGGGTGTTGACAGCCTGGGCTGGGAACCTGACCACACGGACCTACTTCCCAGCTCCTCCACTCGGTAGTTGTGCGACTGGGTGGCTCCGTTTTCTCTTTAATAAAATCAGAATAAAGCTAGGCCTGCCAGACAGCAGGCTGTCAGACAGCTCACCAAGGCTCCACACATGTCCCCTGTTATGTGGGTTCCCAAGATGCCAAAAGGGTGGGGTTCAGTCATCGGTGGAAGGACTGATCCTGGCTGGGAGGATCACCTCCTCTAGAGAAAAGGGGGTGAGGATAGGTGCAGAAGCAGGCAGGTTTGCAGGCGGGATGGTGAGAAGTCTAGGGGCCAGTGACGAGGCTAAAGACCAGGTGTGACAGGTGTGACTGAGAGAGCAAGCTGCAAAGACAGGGTGTCTGCAGGCCAAGAGTGGAACTGGATTAAGGACTGAGGTGAGGTCGGGCATGGTGGCTCACGCCTGTAATCCCAGCACTTTGGGAGTCCAAGGGTGATGGATCACCTGAGGTCAGGAGTTTGAGACCAGCCTCGCCAACAACATGGTGAAACCCCATCTCTACTAAAAATACAAAAAAAAAAAAAAAAAATTAGCTGGATATGTTGGCACAGGCTTGTAGTCCCAGCTACTCAGGAATCTGAGGCAAAAGAATCACTTGAATGGGGGAGGCAGAGGCTGCAGTGAGCTGAGATCACGTCACTGCACTCCAGCCTGGGTGACAAGAGCAAGACTCTATCTAAAAAAAAAAAAAAAAGTATTGATGTGAAGCATTCTAGGGGGATGGTCAGGAGGAACAGAAGAGATGATCCTCGGGAATGAGAGCAACATCCAGGAGAGATGGGTGGAGATGAAGTGGGGAAGGCTGAATGGATGGAGGAGCGAAAGAGGGTACATGGTGAGGAGAGGAGAAAAGCTTCCACTGGACCACATGGCCGAGTGAGCAGTGGGCAAGCCAGGGTGGACTAGAGAGGAGGGAAACTGGAGGTGAGGGACCATAGCGCAGAGCAGGGTGGCGTAAGAGCTGCTGCAAACAGCCTGCCAGGCCGGGACACGCCTGCTGGGGAATAACTGCTCTCTACCCCTCTGCACTCCCCATTTCGGTGCCGCCGCTGGATTTGGGATTTGGAATCCTGCCCGGGCTTGCTCCGCCTCTGCAGGGCACCTGTCTCCAGGATGCCCCTGACCTGCAGAGCCTCTGCTTGAAAGAGGGGCTCATGGCTTCCTTGTCTCCCTTTCCTCCTTCTGCCTCTCAGAGCCCCTCAGGGCAAAGCCAGGATGAGGCACTCGCGGCACCTGTCCATCCCTGCTTTTCCAACGGAGCCAGCACAGGGACCTGCATGCTCCATGAGCAAGGAGCTCTCTACTCTTGCTCTGCCTTCCTGGTTCACCTGGCCCGGGCCGAGCTGGCTCCCAGACTAGCGAGACAGTGTTCTCTCGCACTCAGTCACTTTCAGTGCCTCAATCAAGGCCGAGCAAACAGCCAGTGCCAAATGAATGTCCACTGTCCTTCCAGCCACCAGGCAGTTCCACGACACTGAGATGTGGCTCCCCAGCCCACCCACCTCTCATCTGCCTCTCCGCTCCAGCCCATCCCATGCAGACTTTCCAACCTCTCCAGTCTGCTGACTTCAGCCCAGCCTGGGACCCATCTAGGATGGCTCTGCCTGCAGCAGAGTGTGGCCCTGGGGAGAAGAGGGGATTCATGCCAGGAGGCCTCTGCTGCCTGCAAAAGGACTAGAATCTTCTCTGAACCAGACTCAAGCCAACTCAAGCTCTACGTCTTCCCCCTTCCTCCTAACCCCTTTCTCTGCTCACCCTCCTGCAAGCTTCTCTCTGGTGGGAGTGGGAGGTTTCTGCTTTATGAATTGCCCTCTCTGTCCTGCTCCTCCCACACATATACATACACACAATTTCTGCCTTTTCCCCTTTTTCCTGTGTTCAAGGGCCTCAAGAGGCCCGGGGGCAGGGCCTGGGGGCCTCTGAGCGTCTCAGGAGAATCCTAATCACACTGGAGCAGCCGGAGCTTGATTCCTTCCTCAGTGATGCCTTCTGACATTTAATGACTTAAGGCGCTAAATCCCCTTCATCCCAGAGTGGCTGAGCTAGCTGCAGTGCTGGCTGCCGCATGAACCGTGAGTGGGGGGAGGGGCCAGACGACACACACCTGTATCTGCACAGCAGTGTGCACGAGGGTGCAGATCTGTGTGTGTGCAAAGCGGGCAGACAGGGATGCCCGTGAGCACATGTTAACGTGCATGGGGACGTGACCCACCAGGGGTCACCCAGGCTGGGCCAGCCACCTACCTCCTCCAAATGGCCAGCACACTCATCACGGAGCCCAGGACGAGGAGGGCCGAGATGGTCACTACGGTGACGACAACGGCGGGGCTCTGGTCCCTGGACCCTGAGGCAGCTGGGAGGAAAATCACGAGGTTGAGTCGGGCAGAGGACCCGGCTCCTGGGCAAGCCCCAGGGCAGACTCCTGTCCTCACCCTGTAGCAGGACTCCCACAGCACCTCTGCACTTGGCAGAGCCTCCCAGCCACAGAGCTGCCAAGGCAGTCCCACTGACCACAGCGGCACCTGGAGTCCCAAGAGCTTCCTCTGCTCCCAGGGCAGGACACCTCCCGGTCAGCCCAGCTCCTGCTCAGAGAGAGAAGCAGGAGTCCAGACAGGCAGGGCCAGGCCTCCCTCTATGCCTTTCGGATGGGCAGTGAGAGAGACTCAAAGTCGCTCTGCAGGAGGAATGGCCTCTGCTTTGAGCTCCCTGTCCTCAATCCAGACCTTCTACCAACAATAATAAAAAGAGCTAACGGTAACAGCACCTTACTCCGTTCAAGACGCTGGGCCATGTGCCTTAACTATACTATCTTGTTTCATCATCACAATAATCCAGGATGGTATTACTGTCTCCATCTTACAGCTGAGGAAACCGAGGTAGAGAAGTTACATAATCTGCCCAAGGTCACATGGCTAAAAAGTGGTGAACCTAAGATTTAAGCATGACTCCAAAACTGTCTGCCTGACTCCAAAGCTTCAGCTTTGAACTTTTTCCCCAAGAGAGCAGCCTAGAGGACGCTTGCTCTCAGCCGTATTCATAGATCTAACCAATTGACCCATCCAATCAATCCATCCATTTATCCAACCTACATGCCCAGTTTGCATTAGCACTGAGGAGATGGTGATAAATCTGGAGGGGTGCATGGGCCCATGGGTGTGGCAGAAACAAAAATCTTAATTGTAGAATGAAAAAAGAAACAGAAATGAGCAGAGCTGAGCAGAGGCGCAATAATAATTTCTTCCTAAAGCCAATGAGGAAGTTTCATGAAAAAGGTGCCATCGGAACTGGACCTGGAGGCTGGAAGGATTTCTGATGGTGCTTAGATGCACAAGCTGGGTCTGAAAATGGCAAGTCTTCCCATGTGGCTGGGAAACAGACTGCTTGAAGGCGGAGAGTGGCAGATAGGAAGCTGGAGGGTGGGAAGATGGCGGGAACTGGGCAGAAGAACCTGGGAGGCCTTAGTGCTAAGCTAAGGAGTATAAACTTTCTCCTGTGGGCGACAGGGAGCAGTGGAGAGAGTTCCTGTCCAAGAAGAAAAGGAATGAGGGTGTCTGATGAGGTGGGAGTGAGGATGGAGAAGAGGTGCTTGAGAGAGGTGAAGGTTTGGAGTAACTGTTAGGAATGAGAAGAGTACTAAGTGGCCCTGAAGGCTGAACTGAGATTGGAAAAGTACATCCCTGCAGGCCGGCTCCGCGTGGGACAGGGGGAGGAGAATGGTCCAAGTCTGGGGACTAGCAGCTGGGCGCAGTAAGACGTCCAGGGAATGAGGGCTGGCAGAGTTAGGGAGTATTTCTGATGAGATCATCTGCAGGAGCTGGGTAGAGATGGATGTGGGGCCCAGAGGAACTAAAAGCCCGGGAGATGAGTTGGACCCAGTGAGCTGTCTTTTGAATGTCACAGAGCAAGTGAGGAGGAACAAAAGAAGAGAATTAGAGGACAAAAATTCTAAAGTCAAAGAGGGCATTTCAGAGCCCAGCGTTCCAGAGATAAAGAGAGCTGAGGGTCTGGGCAGTGACAGAGGGGATCAGAGTTGCCAAGAGCTGTTTGAAATGAAGCATCAATGTGGACACAGAAATGGGGAGTGACAGAGAGATGGCAGCAGCCGGCAGCCTCTGAGATGGCATTCCTACCTCCTGGTATCCGCTCCTCGGGAGTGTAGGCTGGACTCACTTGTGATGAACAGAATATGGCAAGAGTATTGGGATGTAATCAGGTCACCAAGACCCTGATTTGGGGCCGGGCATGGTGGCTCACGCCTGTAATCCTAACACTTTTGGAAGCCAAGACAGAAGAACTGCTTTGAGCCCAGGAGTTTGAGACCAGCCTGGGCAACATAGCAAGGAAACAAGACAAATGGCTTCTGTCTTGGGTGCCCTCTCCCTGGCTCACAGTCTCTGGAAGAACCTAGTGTTTGTGGTGGGCGGCCCTAAGGAGAGGCCCACGGGGCAAGAAACAGTAGGCCTCAGCAGCAGCCAGCAAGACCCTGAGCAGGGAGGCGGACTCTCCCCCAGCTAAGCCCCGAGATGATCACAGCCCCCGAGGAGAGCTTGACGGCAGCCTTGGAAAAGACCCTGAATCATGGCACCTAGCTCAGAGGCACCCATATTACTGAGCTGTGGAAACATGAGATTGTAGATATTTGTTGTTTTCACCTGCTAGATGTTGGGGCAACTTGTTACACAGCAATAGGTAGCTAGTACAGTGGTGAAGCATAAGCCTTCACCAAGACCCTGATTTGGGGTTGGGCATGGTGGCTCACACCTATAATCCTAACACTTTTGGAAGCCAAGACAGAAGAACTGCTTTGAGCCCAGGAGTTTGAGACCAGCCTGGGCAACATAGCAAGATTCCATCTCTATTTTTTAAAAAAGAAAAAAGACCCGTGGTTTGGAAGGCGGGGGTGGTGGCTCACATCTGTGATACCAGCACTCTGGAAGGCCAAGTGGATCACCTGAGCCCAGGAGTTTGAAATCAGTCTGAGCAACATAGTGAGACCCCCCAAAACTAAAAAATTAGCTAGGCATGGTGGTAAGTGCCTGTCGTCTCAGCTACTTGGGGGATCCTGGAAAGTTGAGGCTGCAGTGAACTACGATTGTGCCACCGCACTCCAGCCTGAGTGACACAGTAAGATCCTATCTCAACAACAATAACAAATCTCACTTTGGAGACACGGCTGATGGGAAACCACACTCTGCAGATTGGCAGAACCATAGCCATGGCCACAGGAAGGGAGGTTGGATCTCAGCAGACTCTACACACTGAGAGGCACCCAATAAATGGAGACTATCAGGCCTTCTCCACTGACAGCCCCCAGCTCCTGCCCCCACCATGCCCACTCCAGCCAAACCTGCCCCCTTTGTTCAGGTGGCTCCCTCTCCCCAAAATGCCTCCCTGCCCATCTGTACACATTCAAATGTTCCCCAGCTGTAATCTCCTCTTTCCAGCACCTGGCCGAGGTCTGACACTTTCCACATTCAGGCGAGAAGTGTGGTCTTCCTTCCCAGAACTCAGAGCCCCTCAACATTTTATCTTCTCCTCCCTTCGGGCTCAGAGCTCTTCCTATCTTGGATTAGAGTCATGTAGCAGGTTGGAAAAAATTATTATCTTGACAGCTGCTGCCAGAATGGCTCTTAGGGGGAACTGCCTTTGTTCAGGAAAACATTTCCATGAGCTGCTCAGGGTAGATAGAGGTGAGATCCTGAGGGCCGGGTTAGCAGCAGGCAAAGCAACAAGCTGAGCTGCTCTGCACACATCAGGGAACTGGGGAGTGGGTGGGGAGAAGAGGAACCAGAGGAGGGAAGTAAAGGAGGAGGGAGGAAAGAACAATATTGTGGAGAAGCCAGAGATGTTTTCAGTTGAGGATCTTCAATGTCCAGTTTGTGTTTAGTTTTGATAACAGCTTTATTAAGATATCATTCACATACCATGTGATTTACCCACTTAAGGTGTGTAATTCTTTTTTTTTTTTTTTTCCACATAGAATCTCACTCTGTCGCCTAGGCTGGAGTGCAATGGTACCATCTTGGCTCATTGCAACCTCTGCCTCCCAAGTTTAAATGATTCTTGTGCCTCAGCCTCCCAAGTACCTGGGATTACAGGTGCCCATCACCACACCTGGCTAATTTTTGTATCTTTAGCAAAGACGTGTTTCGCCATGTTGGCCAGGCTGGTCTCAAACTCCTGACCTCAGGTGATCCACCTGCCTCGGCCTCCCAAAGTGCTGGGATTACAGGTGTGAGCCTCCGCACCCAGCTGCAATCCTTATTTGTTGTGTTTATCACTGCAACGCAACCCCTTCATGTCTGTCAACCTTCGATGAAGTCAGCATCACACTCTAAGGCTTAGTGGGGAGAGGGACGGTGTCCTGTGTTTGGGTCTCTATTCAAACTGAGTCTCTATCCAGCCGAGACATGGGTTGCAGCTGTTCAGAAACCCTTGTAGCCTCTCCCGTGAGCTCCTCCAGGACAGGCTCCCAATCTAATTCATGTTGGTGAATAGGCATTAGTCAGTGGATTCCAAAGTCATTAATTAATTAGGCTGTAATTAAACTGTTCTGCGGGCTCCCTGAACTGCGAAGATAACTCCAGGTAACTCTGCCCATCTATTCGTCTCCCTGCCTCAGCCTCAGGCAGGGTTCTCTCTGTCAAGGTCCCTGTCCACTCACACACACTACTTACCCTCCCCCGGGGTCTGCACTTCAATGCTAGGGTTAAAGCTCTGGGCCTCCCAGGATGGCCCAGGGGAAGCGGCCCGGATCTGAAAGACGTATCGGGTAGCCGGCTTCAGGTTGGTGACGGTGACTGCTGGCGCCCCCGTCTTCACCGTGGAGTAAGCCTGCTCACTCTGACCCTGGAAAGAGATCAAGAAGTGGAGCCCACCAGCACCAGACCCGCTGTTCTAGGAGAAGGAAGGGCGAAAGGAGCAGGGAGGCAGGAGAAGCACATGTGGGTTGAGTGGGAAAACCCAACCCCAATCGTCTTGGGGGATCCCAGGGATCTTTTCCTTGGCTCCTTAGCCCCTGTCTTCACCACAAGCTCCCACCCACACTCTGTGGCACTTGCAGCTGAGAATAGCCCCACCTCTGCATAAGGGAAATTTTAGAGAAGACACCAGATCCTCCTTCCGGGGGAATGATAGGATGGGGGCCACCAGGGCCTGTCAGTCCAGGCTGACCTGGGCCAGTGCCCTAGGCAGGCCTGAAGCCTCAGAGGACAGAGTAAGAGAATGAGTCTTGACCCACGATAGCCCGCAATGGCTCACAAGGCTTTTCCTTTCCTTGACATCTGATTTTCACAGCTGTCCTGCATAGCTCAGAGGACAGAAAGGATTATCTTGTTTGTTTGTTTCAGAGATAAGGAAACCCAGCTCAGAGGGGTAAAGACTCCCCCAAGGCCCCAGTCGGAGCTGTCACTGATGAGCGCCTACTCGGGGCCAGTTCTGCAGGAGATCCGTTACAGCCCGACTTCCCGTGAGCCTCACAACAGCCCCTGGGAGTCAGCATTTCCAACTCCTTTTCAGGTGACGTTCACATCAAGGCAAGCGCTGGTGCACCCTCCGACGCCCTGCAGAGCCTGTGCTTACTTCTCGACATCACGACGCCCCCACTCCACCCCAACACACCTGACGATGCATACTAGAGACACTCCTCCCATCGATTCATCCCTGCCCGCACCTTATTAGAGCCCCTGCCATATCCACAGCCCCAGAAGTTTCCTCTCCTGATATTTCGTGGCTCCAGTTCTTTGGCCATAACATTCAGGAATTGGGGCAGACTTTGACCCAAGCTGGGCCAATCAGAATCTCTCTTCTAGGCCGCTCAACAGTCCATTGAAAAACAGAGAAGCAGAGGCTTTAGGACCTAGGAGGTAGGGCAGGCTAGGGGCAGGGAGGAGGAAGGAGCAATGACATTGGTGAGTACTGTGAGCAGGCCCCTCTGCAGCATGGGCTGAACTGGTGTGTAGAGAGAGGTTGAGAGGAGAAGCACCGTGGTGCCCGAGAGGGGCTGGTAGATACCGCACCCAGGCCCAGCGGCCCAGCAGGGCTTCAGCTCAGCAGGCTCCTTGAAAGAGCCCTTCAAATATAGCCCTTTATATATTTGTTCCTTTTTTTTTTTTTTTGAGACGGAGTCTCGCTGTGTCACCCAGGCTGGAGTGCAGTGGTCCAATGTCAGCTTACTGCAACCTCCACCTCCTGGGTTCAAGTAATTCTCCCTGCCTCAGACTCCCAAGTAGCTGGGATTACAGGCACCTACCACCATCGGTTTCACCATGTTGGACAGCCTAGTCTCGAACTCCTGACCTAAGGTGATCCACCACCCTGGCCACCCAAAGTGCTGGGATGACAGGCATGAATCACCGCTCCTGGCCTTGTTCCTTCTTTTTTATTGTTTTGGGGTTTGGTGGGTTTTTCTGAGACAGGGTCTTGCTCAGTTGCCCAGGCTGGAGTGCAGTGGTGCAATCACTGCTCACTGCAGCCTTGGCTGCCTGGGCTCAAGCAATCCTCCTGCTTCTGCATCCCAAGTTGCTGGGACCACAGCCGCACACCACCATGCTGGGTAATTTCTTTTTTGTAAAGGTAGGAGTCTCACTTTATTGCCCAGGCTGCTCTTGAACTTCTGGCCTCAAGCCTTCCTCCTGCCTGGCCTCCCAAAGTGCTGGGATTACAGGCGAGAGCCACTGAGCCTGGCACTTGCTCCTGTTTTTGAGGGTTTTCATGCCCAACAAATTCACACTCCCTGGCTAATGGCCTGGGAGCATCCATCCAGCTCAGCCTTGGGACTCTTGCCTATGCCCTGATTCTCAATGTCCATTCAGTGAGTCCTTTCTAAGCACCTGCTGCATACCTAGCCCCTTCCCAGTATCCTTTGCTGCTGTCCCCTAAATATCAGCATTCCTCAGGGCTTTGTCCTGGCCACTCTTCTCAGTGCCCTCCTTGTTCTCCTCCAATCACTGGGGTACAGCTACTGTCTCTATGCTGAGAACCCACAATCTCTCTCTCTCTCTCCAGGCCAGGCCTCTCCTTTGATCTTCAGACCTGTAAGTCCACCTAGGTGTCCCACAGGCCCCCTGAATGCTACATGAGCAAAACCAGGTTCATCATCTTGCCGCAAGCCTGCCCTTTCAACTCAGTGCTTTTTATCTCAGCCAGTGGTACCCCATACTTTGGGTTACCCAGGTCAGACACCCAGCAGTGACTGAGGACTCTCTCCTCCTTCCCATTCAGCCCCAACACTCACAGCTCTCAACAGACTTCTAGTATTCAAAATCTATTATCTGATTCAGCAAAGAAGTCCCTCATGTTGTTGAGGAGTGAGTGAAGTTCTGACACAGGTAGAAGCTGAAAGAGGTTTCACTTTGGTGAATATAATTTGTACCAAGGTGAGAAACAGTTTAACAGTAGCTTACATATAGATTTAAAGAAAATAAACTCGCCAGGCACAATGGCTCATGCCTGTAATGCCAGCACTTTGGGAGGCTGAGGCAGGTGGATCACCTGAGGTCAGGGGTTTGAGACCAGCCTGGCCATCGTGGTGAAACCCCGTCACTACTAAATATATAAAAATTAGCCAGATAGATATAGTGGCAGGCATCTAATCCCATCTACTTGGGAGGCTGAGGAAGGAGAATCGCTTGAACCCAGGAGGCAGAGGTTGCAGTGAGCTGAGATCATGCCACTGCACTGCAGCCTGGGCAACAAGAATGAAACTCTGTTTCAAAATAAAAAAAATAAATAAAAAGATAATAAACTTATAGGGAAATGAGCAGATTGGAATGTGACTCCATTTGTTGCATCACAGCTAAGCTGCAGCCACAGACTGACAACAGATAAAAGAGGTCAGCAAAAATCAGCACAAGTATCCTACAGGGATCAATTGGCTATATGGAGTTCACAATCAAGCGTCCTGTATATATTTTATTATCACCGTAAATGCTGTGCTACACATTTTTTGTATCACTGAAATTATAATAACTCATACATTTATTGTTCTGGAAAGCTGGCTGCTAAACATCTACCAGCACACCACCACACCTAGCAATGTGCTTCATGGGCACGCATTTTTGTAAAATTAGAAATGATATGATCTCTCTGTGTCCTTTTTCTTTACAAGGGCTCTGCAAATGGCATGTATAAGATTCAGCCACACAAAATCTAGACCAAGCCCCAGAGAAATCTCTTTGTCAACTGAAACACGAGGTGACGTGGGAACAATGGAAATGGTTGGTGATGGAGACAGACCTGAGCAGAGAGAGGAGGAGCAGGAGTCCGGGGAAGGAGGGAGAGACTCGAGCCTGGGGCCCCTAGGAGAGGACGGTTATGTTTACAAAGGGAGTTAGAAGGGCTTTTGCTGGGAGGACGGCCTGAAGAACCAGAAGCCCGGGGGTGGGGGACAGGTGCGGGCCAGGCTGCAGGTCCCTACCAGACACGTACTCACCTTCTCGTAGTATCGGATCTCGTACTCCGTGCCATTGGCCCCAGGGGCTCCGGCAGGGATGGGCTCCCGCCACGACAGGGACACGCTCTGGGGCTCCACTCGGTCCCTGCGGATCTCATCCTCTTCCCAGGGCGCTGAAAGTAAGTAACATGGCATTCTCCACCTTGACCCCCTACGTGGCAGGATTTGGGGTAGGAGGAAGAGGGTGCAGCGTGCAGGGCTATGGGACCGGGCTAAGAGAGGCCTGGGGCGTGGTCTTGGGGGCTGTGGGCGGGGCTAGGGAACAGCCTGAGAGGCGTGGCCAAAGGGGAGGAGTCTGCGGGATGGGAGGAAAGAGGCCCCTCTGCCCCCACAGTACTTTTCTTCTTTGTCCCCAGAGGGAAAAGCATCAGGCCTTCTGCTGCTTGCCCACTGCCTACACCCCAGCTTCTCTCATGGTGGTTGGCTCTAAAGCTCCAGGCTCTTTCTACACTTGCTGCAGCTTGGACACATAAGAGAGCATTTAGGGGCAAATGATTAACGATTCCAGTGGTCTGGTCAAGAGGTAATACACTCAACAAACTAGAAATAGAAGGAAATTATCCCAAAAGAATAAAGGCCATATATGAAAAGCCTACAGTGAACATTATACCCAATGGTGAAAGACTGGAAGCCTTCCGTCCATCATCAGGAAAAAGGCAAGATGTCTGCTCTCATCACTTTTACTCATCATAATACCAGAAGTTCTAGCCAGAGCAGTTAGGCAAGAAAAAGAAATAAAAGGCATCCAAACTGGAAAAGAAGCAGGAAATTTATCTGTTTACAGATGACATGATTTTATCTGTAGAAAACCCTAAAGATTCCACACAGAGTTTTTAGGCCAGGCATGGTGGCTCATGCCTATCATCCCAGCACTTTGGGATGCCGAGGTGGGCGGATCACTTTGAGTTCAGGAGTTCGAAATCAGCCTGGCCAAGATGGCAAAACCTTCTCTCTACTAAAAATACAAAAATTAGCTGGGCATGGTGGCCCACACCTGTAATTTCAGCTACTCAGGAGGCTGAGGCTGAAGAATCATGGGGCAGAGGCTGCAGTGAGCCAAGATCACACCACTGCACTCCATCCTGGGCAACAGAGCAAAACTCCATCTCAAAAAAATAAAATAAAATTTAAAACTAATAAACAAATACAGCAAAGCTGCAGAATACAAAACCAATGCACAAAAATTAGTTGTGTTTCTATACATGATGAACAACTCAAAAAGAAAATTAGGAAAACAATCCCACTTACAATAGCATCAAAAATAATAAAATACTTAGAAATAAACTTAACCACAGGATTTAAAGACTTTCATAGAGAAAACTACAAAACATTGCTGAAAGAAATTAAAGAAAACACAAATAATTGGAAAGGCATCCTGTGTTCATGGAATAGAACACTTAATATTGTTAAAATGTCCCTACTACCAAAAGTGAACTACAGATTCAATGCAATCCTATCAAAATCCCAGTATTTTTTACAGACAGAGAAAAAATACCCTAAAATACGGAATCTGAAAGGACCATCATGGGATGGGAAAAACAAAGTTGGGTCAGAGGCAGGGCTCGCACCTATAATCCCAGCACTTTGGGAGGCCAAGGTGGGAGAATCGCTTGAGACCAGCCTGAGCAACACAGTGAGACTCCATTATTTACAAAAACCAACCAACAACAAAACTCACCCACACACACAAAGATAGACTCCTCACACTTTCTGACTTCAAAACATATTTCAAAGCTACAGTAATCAAAACAATATGGTACAGACATATAGACCAATGAAACAGAATACAGAGCCTAGAAATAATTCCTCTCCATGTATGATCAAATGATCTCACACAAGGGTACCAAGGTTATGCTATGCAGAAAGTACAGTCTCTTCACCAAATGACACTGAGAAAAGTGGATATCCACATGTAAAAAAATGAAGTTGGACCCTCACCTTATATCATACACAAAAATGAACTCAAAATGGATTAAAGACCTAAATGTAGGATCTGAAATGATAAAACCCCTAGAAGAAAACACAGGGGAAAAGCTTCATGACACTGGATTCAGCAATCAATGATTTCTTGGATATGACACCAGAAGCACAGGTGGTAAAAACAAAAATAGACAAATGAGACGACATCAAACTTTTAAAATTCTACAGGGCGAAGACAACAATAATCAGAGTAAAGAAGCAATCTTTGAAATGGGAGAAAATAGTTGCTAACCATATATCTAAGGGGTTATTATCCAGAATGTATAAAGACTGTCTAGAACTCAATAACAAAGACCAAATAACTCAGTTAAAAAATGGACAAAGGACTTCAGTAGACTTTTTTTTTAGGCTATCAGGTGAGGCAGTGAGAGTGGAGAAGGAACAAAGGAATCTGTAACTGGATGTGATCAATTAGTTGTAAACAACACTGCACTCAGACCAGCCTGAGTAGACATTTCTTCAAAATAGATATAGGCCAGGCGTGGTGGCTCACACCTGTAATCCCAGCACTTGGGGAGGCCAAGGGGGTGGATCACCTGAGGTCAAGAGTTCTAGACCAACCTGGCCAACATGGTAAAACCCTGTCCTTACTAAAAATACAAAAGTTAGCCGGGCGTGGTGGCATGCACCTGTAATCCCAGCTATTTGGGAGGCTGAGGCATGAGAATTGCTTGAACCTGGGAGGCAGAGATGAGCTGAGATCGCACCATTGTACTCCAGCCTGGGTAACGGAGTGAAACTCTGCCTCAAAAAAAAAAAAAAAAAAGATATACAAATGGCCAAGAAATGCAAACCAAAACCACAGTGAGATATCGCCTCACACCCTTTAGGATGACCACTACCAAAAACATAGAACGTAACAAGTGTTGGCAAGGACATGAAGAAATTGGAAGCCTTGTACATCATTGGTAGGAATGTAATCGGTGCAGCTGCTATGGAAAACAATATGGAGGTTCCTCAAAAAATTATAATTACTATATGATCCAGCAATCCTGATTCTGGGCATATATCCAAAAGAACTGAAATCAGGTCAGCACTTGGGGAGGCCAAGGTGGTGGATCACCTGAGGTCAAGAGTTCAAAAAGAACTGAAGAGATACTGCTCACCCATGTTCACTGGGGCATTATTCATAATAGCCAAGAGGCGGAAGCAACCTAAATGTATAAGTAGATAAATGGATAAAGAAAATATGGTGTATATACACAATAGAATATTATTCAATCCTTAAAAAGAAGAAAATTCTGTCATATGCCACAATATAAATGAACCTTGAAGACATTATGCGAAGGAAAATAATCCAGTCACAAAAAGACAAATACTGCATGATTCCACTTATGTGAGGTATCTAAAGCAGTCAAACTCTTTGAAACAGAAAGTAGAATAGTAGGCCAGGCGCAGTGGCTCATGCTTGTAAATCCAGTGGCTCGCGCCTGTAAACCCAGCACATTTAGGGAGGCCAAGGCAAGCAGATCACTTGAGGCCGGGAATTTGAGACCAGCCTGGCCAATGCGGCAAAAGCCTGTCTCTACTAAAAATGCAGAAATTAACCAGGGATGGTGGCAGACATCTATAATCTCAGCTACTTGGGAGGCTGAGGCAGGAGAATCAGTTGTACCCTGGAAGCAGAGGTTGCAGTGAGCCAAGATTGCACCAGTGCCCTTTAGCCTGGTGGACAGAGTGACACCCTGACTCAAAAAACAAAGAAAAAAAAAGGCCAGGCGAGGTGGCTCACACCTGTAATCCCAGCACTTTGGGAGGCCGAGGCAGGCGGATCACCTGAGGTCAGGAGTGCAAGATTAGCCTGACCAACATGGTGAAACCTTGTCTCTACTAAAAATACAAAAATTAGCCAGGCATGGTGACAAGCACCTATAATCCCAGCTACTTGGAAGGCTGAGGCAGGAGAATCACTTGAACCCGGGAGGCGGAGGTTGCAGTGAGCCAAGATTGCGCCATTGCACTCCAGCCTGATGGACAAGAGTGAGACTGAGTCTTAAAAAAAAAAAAAAAAAAAAAAAAAAAAAAGATTGTGTTGATGCTCTTTACCATTTGGTATGTTTTTGGAAAGAAAAAGAAAGTAAAATGGTAGTTGCCATGAGAGGGTGGTGGGGGTAAAGGGGAGTTGTTAAATGGATATAGAATTACAGCTTTGCAAGATGAAAAGGTTCTAAAGACCGGGTGCTGTAGTTCACGCCTGTAATCTCAGCACTCTGGGAGGGCCAAGGTGGGAAGATCACTTGAGCCCAAGGGTTCAACACCAGCCTGGACTACTAAGTGAGACCCTGTCTCTGCAAAAAATCAAAAAATTAGGCGGGCATGGTGACACACACCTGTGGTCCCAGCTACGTGGGAGGCTGAGGCAGGAGGATAGCCTGAGCCCAGAAGATCAAGGCTGCCACTGTACTCCAGCCTAGGCAATACAGCAAGGCCCCATCTCAAAAAATAAAAAGAAAAGGAAAAGAAAAAGTTAGAGATCCACTGAACAACATATCTAGTTAACATACTGCACTATATACATAAAATAGGTAAGATGATACATTTTATGTGTTTTTTACATTAAAAAAATTTGATGCCCAGGTCACAACCTAGAGCAAACAAGTCATTGCCTCTGTAGGCTGGAGATCAGGAGTTTGTTGTTTTATTTAAGTTTCTTGGTGATTCCAGTGTGCAGACAAGTTGAGAATTGCTAGTCTAGATAATGTCAGGTGAACAGCAGCATACACACACATACTCACATGTACAGGAGGTAATACAGCCGGGGGTTTGTGTTCAGCAAAGAGGTTTCCAAGAGAAGATGCCAGGAAAGCAGTGGGAGAAATGGTTCCAGGGCTCAGAAAAGGTGTCTGAGAAAAAGATGGAGATGCAGGAGCCATCAGAAGGTGAACGGATGAAACTGTCCAGGGAAAACGCATAGAAAGAGAAGAGGAAAAGCTTTTAGGGAATAAGTCTGAGAAACGCCAGCATTTAAGAAACAGGCAAAGGAAGAGAAGTTTGAAAAAAGGAGCCAGAGAGGCAGGAGGAAGACCAAGGGTGAGCAAGGTGATGGAAGCCCGGGAAGAGAACATTTAGGAAGGTTCCCTCCTGACTTTTCTGGCGGTGAGCCCACTATTGGTCCACAAGCAAGTGATCTTAC